TAATTGTGTTGTATTTGTATTCATCGTTCAAAGCCTGAACGAGTGCGTCGGTCCATGTTGATTTTCCGCTTCCTTGAAGGCCTGTTAAACCCAAAATGAACGGGCGCTTGTTTGCTGCGGATTTTTGGGCTTTAATGTGGCTTTTGATTCGGGGTAGGACATTGCTGAGAACGTTGTGAATGTCCTGAGTGGGGATGGTTGGTTTGGTCATGGCGGGTAGAAATTGGAGTTAAGGGTCGGAGATTGCAGGTTGAGGGACAGGAAATGTGAGTGCTAGTGTTTGCGCTAAATTTATTTACAACTTGTACTGCTTTTACTTTGGACTAGATTGGAGACACGTTTGCTGCCAAGCATTGTGTTCGGAGGAGTGGTGGTCCTTCGCCCGGAGATGTTCTTATCCAGTATAACATCGGAGAAAGAAACCTCCGCCTGCTCACTATCTCAACCATATCGCAAACATAGGACAGAGGACTTCTTGTTTGGGATAAGCTTTCTTCATAGAGCATTATTGATGAGATGACCGTTCTACCATTTCTAACAGGGCCTTTCAATAACACCAGTGCCTGTATGGTAATTTTTTTCAGAAGCTGCTAAAGGGCCCTGGTACATATTAATGGAGCCCCTGAATGGCCTTATCTTCACTCATAATAAGGAAGAACATGCCCTTCGCCGGAATATTGTAGCTCAAAGCCTTAGCAGCAAAGGTGAGAGAAATTGCAATATTCAGAAACATACAGCACAGGATCACTAACCCAGCCAAATCCAATCACAGCTCTCACAATATACAAGCTAGTAATAGCCAAATGCACCAAGAAGCTTTTACAGAAAATCAAGGACTAATCAGGAAATCCAATTGGTATAACCAAATAGCTAAAGCGGTACAGTTTTAAAATCGTGGGCTATCTTATCTTTAGTAGACCATTTATTATAATTTTCAAGGAAGAGGAGGATATCTTTCTACTGGATTCTATTCATTTAAACATGAATATGATGGGAATTTTGAAATATATACCTTGGATACCAGCCCTCCTGACCAAGACACCCTTTTTTCGAATAGAATACACATTTCTGGATGTGGCTTGAGACCAACTCTAGGCAGAGAACTGAGGTATGCATGTTACCTGCGGTTTATGATTTATTAATCACTGAGTCTATGTTCTTAGAAAGGATCACCAAATTCTTATTTCTTTTTCTGGCTCCTTAGTGTTTATGAAAGAGGTCCAAAGACAAGGCTAGATATCTCCAAGCTACATGGACTAGGGTATTCTACGTTACTCGCAGTAATTAAATCAGGACGTTCGCTCCATGTTTAACCACCATATTTGTTTATAGCGACACGACATTCTCTGCGGTTACAACCCTTTTTTTTTAAATCTAGTGTGTGATCGCGCACTTGCGCACAAATTGCAACAAGCATTAGATGATGTTCCAGACTTGAACGAGCATAGTCTCCGGAAAGTAGATATTTTGAACGCCGTGATCTATTGGACGCTTCGCTTATATGCACCCGGTGCCGCGGGGTTCCAACGCATTATCCCCAAGGAAGGCAATCACATAGGGGAAACCTATATTCCAGGCAACGTTATTGTCCAGATGCCTATATACTCAATCCATTGAGGTGCGTCCTCTTCCATGCGTGACATTTGATGAGCATAGTGTATAACGTATTTTTAGATAAACGCTCATTTGAGCAGCCTGAAGAATTTCCCCCCGAGCGTTGGACCACAAGACCCGAGCTAGTGAAGAACCGATCGCTTTTTTTGATTTCCAGACTGGTGAGATGCCATCCCCGACCATCTTGTATCATTTACAAAATCTGACCCTTTTCGAGGCCCGTATGCGTGCCCAGGAAGGCAACTTGCCATGATGGAGTTAAGGCGCGTGACTGCGGAGGTCCTTCGAGGACATGGATTTATTTTTCACAGTCTCCAAAGACACTTCCGGGAGTAGGGCTGAAGTTTCCATCGTCTTCGAAACTGGTTGCAAATATTGGTAGGTTTGCAACTGCTTCCCACACAACATCCAATAAGGCTGTGCAAAGGCTTTCGGGGCTTCACAAGGGATCTCTGGAGGTCGCCATGCCCCTTAGAACATCAGTAATGCTAAAGCTTGCATCCCACTGTCTCTACTGGTACTTCGCTGCGGGTCAGTGAATTAAAGTGTAGGGCTACACAGCTTAGTAATAACAGCGCAATGCATGCACTGGTGGTTATGCTTGTTGTCATGTGATGGAGCCTGATTCTGCAAAGCGCGTTGGCCATCAAGCAAACCCAGTATCCAAATACACGACAGCCTTGATGCCTTGATGCTGACCATCGAACAAACCATGCTCCATACAGGAAAGTCTCTTGGTAGCCCGCGCCCATTATCTATGCAGATAATGAGCACAACGCGATATCCTCCATGGTCCCTAGTTCGATCGGCAAGTACTAAGCCAACTGACACAAATAGCCACTACTTCAATTACACATCCGGTCGTTGGCTACACGATGAAAGTCTTCAATTAGAGAAACGTCATATTACATTTAATGTATCAGCACTCCAGCAAATTACTGGACAGACACTCGGAACCCAATGTGTCGCAATAAACAAATTGCGCGAGGGGATGTTCAACAAAGTGTTCTCTCTGAAGATGGCGAATGGTAAGGAGGTCTTGGCCAGAATTCCCAACCCGAACGCGGGCCATCCTCATTATGTTGTTGCTAGTGAAGTAGCAACTCTTGATTTTGTACGTGAGATTGGATCCAGATGTCGAACCAATGCCCTAATGCCGAGGGGATAATCCCCGTCATAGTTGCGAGCCGGTCTTAAGATACCTGTTCCCCGGGTTCTCTCGTGGAGTTCTTCGTCGCAGACTAACCCAGTTGCTGCGGAATATATCATCATGGAAAAGGTACAAGGGCAGCAACTCAGCGAGGTCTGGGATACTATGTCTGAGGCTCAACGCTTCCGCCTGGTGAGGAACTTGGTACATATTGAACGCAGATTGATGGAAGCGAAATTCACTCAACATGGCAGTTTGTATTATCGGGACACGTTCCCTCGGGGAAGAAGCATTGCTGCCCTACCCGGTCTATCCAAATATGTATTCGGCCCGACAACTCAGCGGTCCTTTTGGGAAGACGAAGTGGAAAATCTAGATATTGACAGAGGCCCCTGTGAGTGTATTATCAGTCACTTCCAGAAGTCTCTTACTAAATTTGACAACGCAGGGGAAACGGCCATGGGGTATCTTTCCGCTGTTGCAAACCGTGAGATTGTTCGTATACGGCATGGACACAGCAACACCAACTATGCCACTATACCTTTGGCGAGGACACCAAAGCGACGAAAAGAACACATTCAGCTCCTTGAGAAATTTCTGGCTGTGCTCCCTCACATACTACCCTCAGATAGCACCCAATGCCCCGTCATGCTGCACCATGACCTTCATGTGGATAATATATTTGTCGACGGACATGATCCATCTCAGATCACAAGCATAATTGATTGGCAAGCAGTACACATAGCGCCCCTATTTCTCACGGCGAAATTCCCCTCAATATTCAATTGTGATGACGATTATACATGGGGTGCTCTCCAGCCTAAACTACCTACCGATTTTGACGTGCTCTCGACCGTCGAAAAGGAAGAAGCCGAACAGAAGCTAGAGAGGCTTAGATTGAAGAAGTTTTACGAGCTTGCCTCCCGGAAATTCAACCCATCGCTTGTTCTTGCCATGGACCAAATGAGAGACGATAATGACCCCACCAGCTTTATATTTCACATTGTCAGTCAGACTTCCAAAGACGGGCCAATACCGTTAAGAGAGCTGTTGATACAGGTATATGAGAAGTGGGCCGGAATAATGGCACAGCGAGGTTCAACAAGCCTATGCCCTATTTACTTTTCCAGGAAGGACATTGACCAAAGTCGGCAGCAGACAGAGGCATGGGCAGCCGCATTCAGTAAATTTGACGATCTTAGAGCGCAAGTGAGTGGTGAAGAAGGATGGGTCTCGCATGATGACTACAAAGAAGCCAATAAAAGGTGGAAGGAGAACGAGAAAACTTTGCAGGCTTTGCGAGAACAGTTGGAAGCGTTAGTGTAACCTATACTAGGTTCACTAACGGAACAGTCTTCCATGTAGATCATTTGAGACACCTTTGTGAGTAAATGCCGAAGGAGTTATTGCTATATCGGAACTTTCACAGTTCGAAATAAAATTTTTAAATGACGCTTGTATGCCGAGGGTGTGTCACATGCGCTTCCAAAATGCCAACAGAAACATATCATGAACAGCTAATTCTTGTGTGAACCTGCACTCAATACCTGGTTCGGAAATGCCAGCCATTCCGACCAAGTGGGCCCCAAATAATCAATAAATGACTCGATCAGATATTGCCCGCCATCGCCCAAGAACCAGCATTGGCGATAAGCATGCAGAACTACCCCGTAGTGTGCCAGCACAGCAAGAGAGTCGAGGCTACGATGGGGCAAGGAGATCGATGTATTCCGACGGTACACTGGCGGGCCATGCAAAAACTTCTGTAATGCAAGCGCCTCCGGAGCGATTGGGGGATATTTAGTGTATTGCCGACTGAAATGCTTCGATTGTTTATCGATACTTTTCAGTGATGGAGGGACCCAAGTTGGACTGCTGTATGAGTGCCATAAGGTGGCTGCAATCTGGGCCCAGACTGCCATCGGTCTGTAGCTGTCTTTCTGTAGAGTCTGAAGTTGGCCCGAGACTACTAGTTGCGATAACATGCTCCAGTTCTCTCCAATAACGGCACGCGCACCTTGATGTAAGCGGAGATAAGGAACAAAGGAGTCGAGGAAGACGTTAAAGTCATCATCGCGGAAGATGAGAGTTTCGCAAAGTGTGTGCAACCGAGCATGGAGAAAAAGATGAATCGTGGAATGCATGCTCCAGGATCATCTGCATCCCTTGGCGCATGAAAAAGTCTCAGTGCATGATTCTGCAAGTGGGCCGCGTGTGTACAGTAATAGTCGTGCTGTTACGGGAAGGTGACACTGAGGTGCGTGGCAGCGAGAGCCAAGAGCTCGTTTAGAAGATATGGAGGCCGCATCGAGCGCCTGATAATGTCGGCAGGGGGCCCTACTATCTCCGGGCTATTATACTCATTGAGTGAGTCGATGGCCTCAGTTAACAACTGATACAGGAAATCCGCGTGAAGCATGTTGGCCGTTGGCTCTACAGCGGAATCAACATCAGCGACCGTTGAAGTCGGATCTGTCGTTTCCTTGTCGAGGATGCTGGCATGGAAGGGGTCTGTCTTCGAGACCTGGTGGGCCAGATGCAACGGGCCGGTAGTTCTGCGAACTCACAGGTCCGCTCTGATATTGTACATTGCGAACATACTGGCCGTTGTTCATCGGGCTTTTCTACACGTCAATGTCGCTCAGTTTCCGTAGAGGGTCTAAATTACCTTGATACGACGGCGCTTGCACTCAATGCAGCCAAGACGAGATTTCTTATTTATTACTCAAGCTAGTCGCTTTTGTAAGAGACACACATGAAAGGCAGTCCGCTTTGGCCTGTGCTAGTGTCGTCACCGAGGCACCTTGACTGTGAATCAGAGGGTCACCCCCTTACATGGCCCGTGCATACGCGTATCTCGCCGAAGATCCCTCATCAACCGTCGGCGTCAAGGATTAAACCCCCTTTTCTACTGGTTCGTCGACCCACAAGGCAGACGATCATGCATACACGTATGGCAAATTGGCAACCGTTGGCCGGGAGTACGCCCGAAATCAACCAGATCTCCTGACGTTTCTGGATTTCTTCCGTCTGCGCATTAGGAATATAAGCTCAATCCACGCTGCTGAAATCATGATTCGTCGTCAACTAGGTTTTTATCATCTGAGACCATGCTGTTCCCCATCCTTGGAGGGCTTCTCCCTCTCTCGCTGGGAATCGTATCGTCAGTCCTATCCGCCGCAGCTGCTGAATCAACTCCGTCACCCGAGCCAATTGAAGTCGTTCAACTGCCACTACCACCAGTCGTGCCCACAGACGATGTTGGTGCCTGTAGCCGCCGAGTTAACCCTCATGGCACTGGATGCATGGGGAAAACATCTCTCATGCAAGGGGGCAACTTCTCCCCGGACGGAAATTACGTCTGGGCCAGCCTTAATTTCACCGGTGCCCCAGCCGCACCAGACCCAGCAAGCATCTACACTGGAGTCTAGTTGATCATGGTCAGCACGAATGGGACCAACTTCTCCACTGGCGACCCATGGAAGTGTGTGACTTGTGGTGTACCGGAAAACAACAAAGTGGGCAGTACATCCTTGAGCGATTACCCTCAGACTTTCGCCGACGGTCGACGCGCAATGGCTGGAATCAACATCATCGAATGTCGAGTCGGACAATTGGCAAGTGATGAGTGCACTCCGGACCAGATATACATCTATCCCATTCGAATGAGCAACAAAGCCGAAGATTCCGGGTCGGGAGCCAGCATCCGCGAGCTACGCTTGCACCCTGACAACGTTCACCTCGGTTTCAACTCATACAGCACCACCTCATCTGGTCAGCTGAATGAAAATGGATATTTCGGCCGACTGCACTTCAACGAGTCCCCTACTACAGGGTCTCCTCGCAGTGCTCGATATGACGTCGTGAATGTCACTGTTCTCGTTTCCCCGAACGGACTACAACCGTACAGCGTCACAGGCGATCGACTTTACATTAACCGGGAGGCTATAACCGTGGGAGAGTTCCGAGGATTCACAGGCCGCGGTAACGAAGTCCTGTATATAGGTAGTCCTTGGGAATCCTGCAATGTCGATCTATTTGCCGTTGACTTGTCTACTGGTTGCGTCCGCCGTGTTACCACGCACCCTGGCTACGTTGACCCTGTGGGTGATTCTCCAGATGGCCGATGGCAGGTCATCTTGGACACCCGTGGCACGGACCGCATGGAATTTTTGTCGGGGATGCGTGGTATTCCTCCTGTGACGGACCTGATTACAATCGCTACAGTTTCTTCGGTGCGTAACAATGGGGTTCGACGCTACTTCCAACCTTGGCTGCTGGACGCTCAGGGTGACCACGATCCCAACTACTACGGCCAACAAGTCAATGCTGATGGAAACGGACAGCCTGGCAGCGTTAATGACCCCAACTGGAATGCTGGAGCAGATCCTCGGTGGTCTCCTGATGGCACTCGGATCATGTACTGGCAGAAGATGGTCATACCTCCTGCTTGTGGCGGTACCAACCCGCTACCATGCCCCATATCCATTGAGCCCGGTGGCCGTACCACGCGTCTGATGATGGCCCGACTCACCAGTCGGCAGCCTTACCATACTGACCCTGTGCATCCTGTTTCCGATACCATACCATGGGGACTGCCATATACCCCAGGCGACACCAGCATTCCCGAGGTCTTGAATGTGCCTCCGGGCAACTTTACGCTCCATGGACTTTTTTCGGGACTGGCCCATGTTGTACTCCAAAAGAGCGAGGCCACTTCCGATATCAACTTTATTTCGGCCACCTACCATAACTACTCTGATGATGGCCTTCATTATATAAATGGATATGAGTCGGTGGCCGCCACCATGGTGTCATATTCATCTACCCGCCTCGACTGGCATTCGAACCTAACCGGAACTGGAGTTTCGTCTAGTACGAAGATAACCAGCCCTGATGGATTTCACGTAGTTGACGATGCCATGACTAATATCTTCCACGCCAATGGGACCCTGGTTACTACCGTCGATGGGGTAGTATACAAGCAGCCATTGAATGAGGCATGAATGCCCAACAATCCATGCCTCGTTGTGTCCGTCTGGGGTTATCAAACCCAATTCTAGTATTCCATGTTTCTATCCTATTCAAGATTATGTATTTTTTGTAGTTCCGCCGTACATCGCGACCATCAACACCTTCCGGCACCATTTACTCAAACACGGGCATAGAAAACACACAAATTCTCCAGTCCCCATCTGCGCATCAGCATATCCATAAGTCCCGATCTATGAACGACATCGCACTAACACCGGCGGCTACCCAGGTTCAAAAGCAGAAAAAAGCAGTCGCCATGGCGTCAGCCTCTGTGAAAGCCTCTGGCAAGTTGCTAGTCAAGTACGTATCCGGCGCGATCGTCGATATCCCACTAGCGGCTGCAGAGGACTTTCGCGCTCTACCCTATCTGTATGGAGACAAGATTCACGATTACGGCCAAGTAAGAACTGGAAAATTGGAACAATGGCTGGAGCTATGCCCTTTGCCTTTGGGGATTGGCGAAGGAATGACGAATATCTTTTACTAACCGTATAAGATGGCGAGAGATAATGGAGCGAAGGGTTTGCGATGGGGTTTCTGAAGGGCAGTTTTGGGGCGGTTGGAAAATAGCTCACGGTAAGTGAGATCTCACATACGGGGTGGGAAAGTAGTGCAATTGCTTGCTAACACATCGAACTTAAGTACTTTGGGTCTCGTTGCATATCTTGGGCAAGGCGTGAAACGGACTATACAGCATGCTCTGCGCGAAAAGCGTCGGAAGCAGGTCATTGACGCTCTGCATACCGGGGTCGGAGCATGATTCGACAAGAAAGAGAACGGCGGCTTTAGGATGCGGTAGTCCTCAACTTTTTTGATCGACTGGCAGAAGGGAGGAGAGCTGGGCGACGATGAAGATGATTATCTATGATTGGAAGTATTATATTGTTGGCCTCCAGAGATGAGCGACAGCTTGTGCCAGAGCGACAACAACAAGATCATGACTACACACAAGTTATAGAACCTACCCTATTTGAATAATTTATTGAAAGTGTAGGAAATTAGATCCCTGTCCACGTCCACGAACTGAATAGTTCCGGTAGATGAGTGAGAAGACATGCATTCGGGCACAGTCCACGGTCGGACTTGCGAATACTGTGCCGCTTCCGATTCGCCGGTTGCCCTGATTACGGGCTGAGCGGCGCCATGCAAATGATGTTGGATTTCTTCACGAGCAGAAAGGATGTGATATAAGAAATAAAATTTGGTCCGTATAATACAATGAAGCTCCAACCTCCCCTCTGCCAATGTGGTCTGATGGACGGCGTGAGTGATTTGTAATAAGCCGTTCTGACAAATCCAGTGTTCGGCATCAAATCCAGCAGCCCCCACTAATGACGTTGACGAAGGATTCTACAATTCCTTCTTTACCTTTCGGGTACCATACTACTATACGTTCAATCGTCGAATAGCTTCGCTGATTATCTGTTTGATTCGATTTCAAAGCATCATAAAGCAGATATTTGCATATACGGGTCTCCACCGTCGTTATATATAGCTGAGCGTCACGCACTTGAACGGAATACACACGCTTAGGGAGAGCCAATAAATCTCGGGTTCAATCCATCCAATTGTTTATATCCTTCTCTCACCATAGCATCCTACCTGATTACAGGCGCTTCCCGTGGCATTGGTCTTGCCACGGCCCGTACACTGGCCTCCAAACCCGCCAGCGATGTGTCCGTCATCTTTGCAGCGGCCCGTACCCAGACCGATGATCTAAAACGTCTCGTGGCGCAGTCCCCCGGGCGAGTTCATCATATATCCATGGATGTTGAAAGTAAAAATAGTATACAAACGGCAGTTGGGACCGTTGAAAGTGTGCTATTGGGGAAAGGTCTTGATGTTTTGATCAACAATGCGGGTATCATGCCCTCAACCCGGGGCGGCATTGAAAATATGTTAGTGGTAATTCTCCCCAATTTTAATGATTGTGCTATTGACGCTCAATAGGGACAACTTGGACTCCGTCTTCCACACCAATGTCACCAGTGCCCATATGGTGACAAGTGCCTTCTTACCACTCCTTAAGAAAGGAAACCAGAAGAAAGTGGTAAACATGTATGTCTTCCGCCCCTCGCCCAGACATCGGGTACTGTGACTCTAACTGCGTCCAGCTCGACAACACTTGGCTCAATCACAATGTCACCCAGGTTCGCACTGTTTCCGGTGCCAGCTTACAAAGTTAGCAAAGCAGCGCTGAATATGCTTACCGTGCAATACGCGCAGTCTTTCGCGGATCAGGGATTCACGTTCCTTGCAATCTCGCCGGGTGTACGTTTCCTATCGCCGTGTCTTGAAACAATAATGGAACTAACTTTTTCGAAAGTGGGTGAAGACAGACCTTGGGGGAGAGAGGGCGGATGTAACAGTTGAACAGAGTGTACAAGGTCTGTTGGATATCATAGTTCCTGCAACTCAAGAAGATAACGGGAAGTTCTTCAATATTCGAGTTCCCGGATGGGAGCAGGCAGAAGGGTTGAACCAATATGATGGAGCGGTGGTGCCGTGGTAGGCCATATTGGAGTTTCCCGCCTACTTTTGATCTGTCCTTCTCGATCCCATATATACTTTGTGACGTCGACCCTTCTGCAGAAGTGCAGGCACGATAATATCATCCAATGACATTGCATTACACTACGCTTCTACCATCCTATGCTGAAGGGAACCAAAACCACTGTAATTTGTCATATCTCCTCAGAGCTTCAGTAGATGTTCATCTGCGACAAACAATGCCTTGTAGCGAACCGTGTTACGCTGCAGGCTTTCCATGGCCTGGTTGACCTCCTCTGTAGAAGTAAGGCTAGAATTGCTTGTGGCAGGTCGCACTCCCTTGTCCGCCACAGAACTGCAGCATCTTGGCTAGATCCCCACGGGATGCGACCAAAGAACCTTGGATCCGAAGGCCCTTGTTGATCAGCATGATGGTTCGAATAGCAGCCGTTTGAAGAGAGACTGTCAATGGATAGACTGTTCCATGTACTGCTAGAAGAGAAAGAATGCTGTTACCGGGCCCATGCTTAGTTTGAATGATCAGTGACGAAAATGAAAAAAAAAAAAAGGATTACAACGTATAATCTTCCGAGCTGGAACCGCACAAGAGAAGGTGTTTCAGTGGCTCCAAACCTAAATGTAGTTGTCACCGGATAACTTAGAAATCAATCAGTGTAGTCAGACCTTCCATTGATTCGCCGCTAGTCATATAGTATTCTTTAGTCTCAAAGGCTAAGCAGTCCGCCTTCTTGGACTCCGATCCAGAGAAAGCAACAACATGATATCCCATCGCAGCCGCCATTTTGATGGCCAGATACCCCATGCCGCCGATGCCCAATACTCCAACACGATCTCTAGGCTGTATGCCGTAACGACTAAGCACAGTCCAGACAGTAGCACCACCGCACATCAGTGCCGCGGCATCACCAGAGTGTAGCCCATTCGAAATGGGTGGAAGGGCGTTCGCGTTCCAGATAGTTTCAAAGCCGAGGCAACCGCGGTCAGGGTCACACATGCCATAAAGGTCTTTTCTTTGGCAATATTGGTCCCACCCTACGTAGTGTTTCGAAATTAAACATATAAGCGACAATACTCAATATTCCATGACGGATGAGACGTAGTCACTTACTTGATTTGCAAGATTGACACTCCCCGCACGTTTTCTGTACGAAGCTCATTCCAACACGGTCGCCGATTTGGACACTCCGCACTCAACCAAGACGCGAATCGAATCGTTCCCGCATATGCACGCATTGGGAAAACACATGTTTTGCTTACTGAAATTGCAAAGCCAATGAGACGTTCTGCAAAGGGATCCATTCAACGTTCAGCGACAATCAAGCTATACCAGCAGGAGCTTGAGGCACATCATGCAGCCGTTGCATCTGACATTTCCGTTGAAGAGGGCAGGCATTCTCAGCTCAGACGAAATGACCAGCCGCAATTTTGTGGTTGGATTCATTGAACAAGCAATTTCAGGAATCACAGAGTGGGACTGCTTAGATGAGAGCGTTGATCTCTGTGTTCGCAGGTTGGACTCCCAACAAACTTTAAGCGTGGTCCAAATCCTTAAAAGAGGCTTGCCTTGCACGGGCGTTTCTCCCGGGATGTTGTATGCGAACCCTTCCGTGACAGCTCTGACACAGGCCTTGGTCGATAAAAGCTGCGAAAATGATAGGGCTCAGCAGCAGGGTATTGTAAGTAAGATATTAACTGAGAGATACAAAGCGCTACAGATGTATCAAGGCTTGATCGACCAAATCCCTCGGGTGGAGGCTTCATATTGCCGGCAAGAAAAACATTCTGTTATGCTCACCGACAGTATAAATGGGGCAGGACCATACATTCTTGACATGCTTCTCAAACATCCCTCGGTAGCCCATGTCTACTGCCCTTCACATGTCCACAATGGCCTTGCGCACCAAATAGATGCTAATGAATGCCGATGACTTGGAACCAATCTACCATTTTAGAAGCTGACACATCGCAGAAGGAACTTGGCCTCCCACCTAGTATCATTGACAACCTTCGGCACAGTGTCACGATCATTCTTCATAACTTATGGCCTATCAACCTCAATTGGGCATTCTCCTCATTTGGACCCCATCTTGTCGGCCTGGTTAACCTTTTCCACTTCTGTGCGGTCGCATTTGCCCCACCAAAGCTCTTCCGGGTCTCTTCCATTGGTGCCCTTCTCAAGCTGCACGGCGACTCCGGGACATTGCCTGAGCAATTGATACAGATGGATCAGCCTAGTGTTAAGAACTACGGCGAAAGCATATACGTCGGAGAGCAGCTTCTTCACTACGCCCATGACCAGCTAAGCATACCCATATCTACCGCTCGACTGACATACACCCCGGGCACAATGGAACATCCATCCGTGTGGAGCCCTGACGATTGTTTATCAGGCCTGATTACCGCATCACTACAATGGGCGCTCTTCCTGACTCTCTGGGGCAGCGTTGGAGTCACGTCGACTGGATTCCCGTTGACCTATTATCTGACATCTTCGTCGATCTTGCGCTATCCCATGGTTTTGACGGTGCTAGAAGGGGTAACGAAGTGGAGTGTCGACTCCAGGTCTTTCATCCTGTAAATCTTCACTCCGTCGACTGGCGTGTCGTTCACAAAATCATCATCGAGGAGACACAAACCATCACTGGTCAACGCTTGAAACCCATTTCACTTCATCAATGGATACAGCAAATCCAAATCGAGCATGATTCACATGTTTCAGGCTCTGATCAACCCCATAACCAAAACCAGGAGGAAGAGGGATACCGGACCTCATGCGGGCAAAAGATGTCTGGTCTACATACCGCCATGCGCATGCTGGACTTCTATCGAGATGTATTTGCCAGTGATGCGATACATGCATTTACCGAGACTGAAAAGAGCGCCAAATCGAGTGCTATACTCCGGAGCGATCCAGCGGTTCAAAATGAATGGATCCGGAAGTGGGTGCGCGAATGGGTTGAAGCTTCTTCCTAGGTACTCGATGAGTTTTTCAGTGTTTCCTTGTTATCTATTGGCCATCACTGGCTCTAGTCTGCTCTGATACTACCAATTTGTTACATTGTCCGGAACGTCGGAGACCCTATATTCCTGACACTCCAAGCCCAGCGGGGCCGGAAATAAAGTGATCTGGAGAGTAAATGGACTCCAGAGAAGCTAATTAGGTCCTTAGACAGATACCTTGCGTAGTGTTCAATATAGCAGGCTGATCGGCACAATGCCGAGGCTCTTTGGCAACTTTTGATAAAGACGCCCTGCCTATCTGCTTATCAGGATTCTTGATCGCCGATCGTCGGGCGCGAATGCCGACCCCTCATTATCATCCAGCGCTTCCCCTCATTGCCTTTCCTCCTCATCCATCTTCCCTCCTCTTGATTTGTTTCCACGATTCCGCCTCATTTAACATGACGTCCACTACAGATATCAAACCCTGGCTCCGTCCAGAACCAGGATACTATGCTCTTACCCACGCCAATGTCGTAGACGTTGCAAACGGTACAATATTGGAAGACCAGTACGTGCTGATATGTGAGGGAGTGATTAGTTTTATCTCATCTTCTCTATCGAGTCCGCCGCCCCCGGAAACGATCATAGATTGCAGTGGCATGTACATCTGCCCGGGGCTATTTGATGCCCACGTGCACTTCGTCGCCGTTCCCGGCTTCAAAGATCTGTCCATGGCATTTGGCAATTTCAACGACGTATCCCTCCTGCGACAGCCATACGTCGCCACGCAAATGCTTTACCGCGGGTTTACGAGCGTACGAGACTGCGGGGGTGCGCAGCTAGCCTTGAAAGAAGCAATTGAAGACGGCGTATTCCCCGGACCAAGATTATTCATTGCCGGACACGCCCTTTCGCAGGCAGGAGGCCACGGGGATATTCGCGCCGCGCACGACCACGTGCAATGCTGTGGAGGACACACCAACGGGCTCGGGCGCATATGTAATGGAGTACCGGAATGCATGACAGCGGTTCGTGAGGAGATCCGCTCGGGCGCTGACTTCATCAAGATCATGGGCTCCGGTGGAGTGTCGACCCCGACAGATCGGTTGGACCAATTGCAGTTTACTAAAGCCGAGATCCAGGCCATGGTAGAATGTGCTGAGAATGCGGGCACTTATGTTACAGCGCACGCCTATACTCCGAAAGCCATTATGCATTGTATCGACAATGGTGTAAAGGGAATCGAGCATGGCAATTTCATCACCGAGGAAGTCGCAAAAATCATGGCGGAACGGAAGATCTACCTGACTCCGACACTTATATCTTACGCGCAGATGGATTCTGAACGTTGGAGGGGATATCTCCCCCCTGATGGGCAGGCTAAGAATACCGAAGTTTTGAGTGCTGGCATGCAGAGCTTGAAAATTGCGTCCGACGCGGGAGTCACGCTCTGCTATGGAAGCGACCTGCTTGGTCCTCTGGGTATAGCGCAGACTGGGGAATTTGCACTCAGAGCGCAGGTTCTCAGCCCGCTGGCTGTCCTGCAGAGCGCGACCATCAACCCAGCGAAGATGATGGGCCAGGAAACGCGGATTGGCCAGATCAAAGAGGGGTTTTTGGCGGACATCCTTTTTCTCAAAAAGAATCCACTTGAGGATATTACTATCTTCGACCGGCCGGAGGAATGTGTCCTTGGAGTGATGAAGGAGGGTCGCGTGTACAAAAGTCGTTGCGAGGAGCTGACGGAGGATGCGCACATTCCAGTGAGGCTGACGCCATCTAGACAGTAACAGTGTCTCATCTCCGGTAATAGATTTGAACATGAACGTAACAGGAATATCATCGTATAAGGATACTTTAATCTGCAGTTTTCCACTCTACCCATAAAATAACCAGAATAAGGCGATCGCAGGTTACCTCCCTTCATAGTCTCATTACGATCAATTCATTCTCTTCCTCAACTCAAAGCTACAAATATGCTCCCTACACCAAGATGATAATTGCCTTTGTCTTTCTCATCAACAACATTGTATGATACCTATTTACACAACACCATCCTAGGACGAGCAAGCCACAAAGTCATCACCACTAGCACCCGTATGCGTAATCACACCCGCCAATTCATCGTCTCCGTTGAAAATCACGCGATCCGCTCCGGGCGAGCCACCAGTATAAACATCGTAGTCGCTCATGATAGGATACTCGTAGTAGGTACCGCTAACTGGGAAATCGAATCCCTCATAGTCGTGATACTCGTGCGGGTAGTCGTCAATAGTATCCCCAGACTCGTACAGCGAGTATCCCTTGGCCTTGGCTGCGCTGACATCGCTAGACCAGTAGCAGGTGCTACCGCAGGTGTACTCGCAGCTTTCGCGGCTTTCGAGGTTATTCCTGGCAGAGGGAGAGGCGATCGAGACGGAGAGGAAGAGGGGGAGAAGGGCGATGATGCTCTAATTGTCATACCTAGTTTAGTCCCATGTTGTCAGAGTGGCGGGGATTTTCGCTCCGTACCTTGAATTGAACCATGGTGACTGTCAGTGCTGTAGCCACCGCCTCGAGGCTATTTACAGAGGGGTTTGATGTATAGAGAGTGTGTCTAAAGCTCCAACACCCCCGGACAAGACGATTTATTTATCCCTCTATTACAAGCCCCCTCATGCAGGACCATCTAGTCGGAGGCCTCCTATCAATCAGGCCACAAACAGGGACAGCCAACACGGGCACACGGCAGGACTCCCAACTCCGAGGTTACATTGCATCCGGAGCAGCCGATAAGATAGCATCGTTCCTGGCACGTTCTTCCAGTCGCGACAGCCACAGGATCCAGGGTCTGTCGATCTTCACCTGTCAGGGCATTCCATCCGAGACCCTAGATTGCTTAGCGCCCTCCACTTGTCAGGAACTCCAACGGATCTCCCAATGGCGTCCGATAAATTTGGCACGGAGGTGGCTGAACCAACAATTGTTGCTGAAAGCCGGTGAGAAAGTATTTGTGGCCAGGAATTGGCTTATCAGCCGGGGTTGGTTTAATGAAATGACTAGTACTTGAGGGGTTGCGGACCTCGCGGGACAGTCTTTATCCTGACTAGGAGGCTAATATATATATTGTCTTTCCCAGGCGGTGTCTAGATTGCCATTCTGGGCATGATTAGTTAAAATTCGATACACACTATATTTATTAGCTCAATCACAATTCGACATCACATGTCAGTTGTTTTCTTCCGGACATGCTAATGCTTCGGAGGGCATTATGGTGACTGGTTCAGACTGGGAATACTAAAGAGCAAGTTGCCAGATATTAAATCTCGAAGACGCTAAGAGTAGTGAGGGATCGCTTCAATGCTATAGGAATGTAGTAAATCGGGAAACCAGTAAGATGACTGCGCTTAAATGATATCCTTTTCAGAATTGCGTCGAAGACGTTAGCCAAGACTGCCACTTTCGCCAGTAGTTTTCATGAAAGACTGTTTTTTTCGTTTCCGAAAGTCTTCGACTCCAGCCTCTCGCTTCAAGTTGCCCAGCCATACAGGATTATCCGCACAGGTTTGGTTCCACGGATCGTCACAGGAATAGACGATCATGCGAGCCATATCTTGTAACGTGGAATTGGAAGGAATAACACCAATTTCCAGTTGACTTTTGATATAATCTGTAAGTTCACGTTCCAGGATACGCCAGTGATTGACTTCCTCGACAAGATCCCTCCCTGCAACAGCGGAGTTGTCGGCCTCAAAGCTTGTCTCCAGCGCCTTGGCGGATTTGGCACTATAAGGATTTGTCGTTAACCGCTCCTGACCGATTAGATATGGTGGCATAGCATTTTCCACCAAGCCTTGCACGGCCGCCTCAAATCCCCAATCTCCTTGCCACTGGCGCATGTCCATTCCAGCCTTGAAATGTGTCGCAAGGTGTTCTACACGCTCTGTCCAGGTGTTGAGATTCGTGTCACAGAAACCACATCTTGATTGTATCTCACTGATGCTAGTTTTCCAGCTCTCCATCCATGATCCAAATTTGACATTGTGAACGAGTCGTAGGTGTTGGTGGAGATGATCCTTTCGGGAGAAGGTTCGCTCCTGTCGGCCTTTCTCATAGCATAGATAATACTCATGGAGATCTAGGTGCTTCTCGTCCGGGTTGATGGCCAGACACAAGGCACACACGTTGTGGCCGTCTAGAGGGACAATACCGCCAAACGGGGAGCAGGTCCACTCCTCTAGGGACAGATGAAGGGACTTTTCATGTCGCTGCCAATCATACTTAGTTTTAAACGTATCAGTACAGAAGGTACATTGAAAGCGACGAAGCCCTTGAGCGTGAGGTGGAGCTAGATTGTTAGGAAGAGTTGGTGCCTTGCTTCGCTGCTGGCGGCGGCGGCGATGACGGCGATAGTTGCTTTGACCTGGCAAACTAGAGCGCGGTAATGAGCGCTGGGAGAAGGCAGATGCAATCGATATACTAGAGCTGGAAGATCTACTGGTTTGGTGGCTGCCAACAGATGGTGTTTGGAAAATATCCCAATGCCCAGGATGGGAATCTTGGCTGATCCCGGAATCTAATGAATGTGCTGTAGAATTCACTAAACCTGTCGCTAGTTCTGCGTGAGAGCCGGGTGGAAGGTTCGACAGCGCTTGAGCTATGTCGCTCGGTGCAGCAGGCTCATGTTCAGGTGGGGAATATCTCCAGCGCTCGAAAGGTGTCATCTGCGACACAGATTGATGCGGGATGTCAACAGCACCCGATGGTAACGACTCATTCTGTTGTAGCGTAGGTGAACGAACCTTTACCCGACGTCTGGAGTTTGCAAGCCAGTTGCGCAACTGAGTCCGCGTCAATCCTGTGCGCTGCAGAAGCTCTTCGCGCTCTTCTTTAGTTGCAAGCGGACGCTCCTGGCGTTGGTCAAGCCAATCTCTCAGAATGCGAACTGTCTCTCTGGGATAATAATGAGATCTGCGCTTGCGCCCACCCTGTTCGTACTTTGCATCGGATGCAAGCGCCGAAGGAGCGTCCACAGCCCTTTCACCTATGAGAGCTCCTGTATCTAGAGACACCATGCTCCATGCTTCAGGGCAGCTGGAATTGTATAAGGACTCAGGGGAAATGCAATCCGCACGGACAAACTCGTGTAGAGGATCATTCTGCATAATAGATGAATCTAGACTTAATTGCCTGAAGGAGTCGTAGGTTTCTGTAACATTGTGTAAATGAGGCATATGCTGGTTGCCATGGAATCGTTCGTCCACGGGATACCGGAGACTTGAAGGGTCAAAAGATAGAACTCCTGGGTCTGAATCATGCATCATAGGGCTAACTTGGCCCGAATCCAAGTAGGTTGGGGCCACATCTTCCTCACGGGAGTGAGAGCAGTAGCTGAACGGTGGCTCGTGGAGGTCTGAGTTGACCATTAACTGCGGTTTGTTTCCGGACGTGAAACCGACTCCAGGCGGTAGATGAAGGTCAAAGAATCAGTGGTAATGGAAGAGGAACAGGAACATGTGATGATGCTTCATGAAAGGCGATTCAAGTTATCTCGGTGTCCGCAGCGGGGTTGAGTCAACTCGCAATCTGCAGGCGGCCTCGGTCGGGAACTCGGCGCAAAGCCGGGGCAGCGATACCGAGACACTTTTCTCTTTAGCTAGCTACAGAGGAAGGGAAGTGGAGCGTTTATACAAGCCGGACTCTCGCTCTGTGCATTTGCATTGGGGGGTTTCTCCCGGAAGGCGGAAGGGCGCGCAGACTACCCCCTTCACCGCCCAAAAAAAATAATAGATTCTCGACTGGTGGTTCCTGGGGCTGGAATGGCTTAAATCCGCTTATATCCGAGGTTTTTGCTCCGAGGTTCGCTAGTTTCTGCCAGTTCTGAGCGGTCTATAGGGCGGTGAGGTCTGCACCCTCGCTGAGCTTGTTGCTATTACTACTAGTTAGGGCAGCAGTTGCAACAGACGCCACTGTCTAGTGGTAGAAGGCTCTACGTAGCTTTGGGCTACGCTGGGATGCTTGTAGATCTGTGATAACTGGAAGGTTGTTTGCTTCTGTGTATGTCTGTAGTGCTTAATCTACTGGAAATTCGCGGCTCGAATGAACTAGTATATCTCAGGCCATCTGTTCTACCACGATCACCGAGTCATTGGTCGGTTTGCTTCAAAACACAAGGGTCGCATATTGTCTAAGACTTTTGACGGGGATATGGTGAGCAGGTCCGAGATTAAGCACTCGAGACATTGGTTGGAGCTCGTCTAGTCTGCGACGGAACCCCCTGTGGAGCTATTTACATAGTATGAAACTGGTGCCGAAGAAAGCTCGACATGACTGGTTTTATTTTTAATTTTTTTTCCCCCTCACAAGACTGTTTTTCGTCGAGCCTTAGTCTGAATACTCTTCTTTCTTCTTACCTTCAATCCAACAGATCATCCATCATCCGTTCTTGCTCGGCTCGGATCTGTGCGACTCCGCCTCACTTTTTCCCTTCCTCCCCGGATCCTGTCATCATCCGTTCCCCAGTCTTTCCCAACTCGCCGGATCTGTACGCTGATTATGATCCGGATGATTTGCCAACACTCCGTTTCAACTGCGCTCCTATTATCCCATAGTAGAACACTGCCTTCACCACTGTTTGGCGTTTCATTGGAGGGTTGACAGATCGAGTTGGGCAGGATGCTGTTCCTGCAGCGTTATACGTAGTTTACTTTGGACGCAAGCCTAGTATGTGTTTAGTCATGTCTTTTCTCGAGCCTATACAAATAAATTCCAATAATCTCTTAACAACTTGAACGAGATGTCTTTCTATTCCCACAATAAGCGTCAGGGCTTATCTCTCTCGAACAATGGCTGCCAACTCGGCGCAGAATGTTACCACAACCAACGCCCATGCGATAGACACAACAAGGTCCGCCGCTGAGCCAGAGCAAAGCATCACACTCAATGTAACAGGAGAAGTCTCCTTCAAGAAGACAATCGCCGAAAAGCAGAGCCCCAGAGACTGTGACGAAGCGACCCACCTAGCGACTGAGAAAAAGTCCTTTCGCTTCTTTGCGATCATCGCGGCGCTCGCGCTCTCCGGACTTTTGACTTCATTGGAGGCGACCATCACCTCCACTGCTCTCCCGACCATTACAGCAGACCTTGGGGGTGCCAATCTTTACGTATGGGTGGTCAATGGATTTTATCTTACTCAGTACGGACCGCTCACCGTACACACTGTGTCTCGTCTAACGTGACATTATCGCAGGACAGCATTTCAGCCATTATTCGGCCAGATCGCCGACATCTACGGTCGCAGATGGCCGATGATAATCAGCACGGCGACCTTTACCCTAGGCAGCGGCATATCAGGCGGCGCCAGCAACATCGACATGTTAGTCGCCGGTCGACTAATTCAAGGCATTGGTGCAGGGGGCATCAACGTACTCATCGAAATTATCGTCTGCGATCTGCTACCCCTTCGCGAACGAGGCCGCTACTTAGGTCTCATGTTCGGCCTCATCGCCATCGGAACCACACTGGGCCCTCTCTTCGGGGGCCTCATAGTCCAATATACCACCTGGCGCTGGGTATTCTACCTCAATGTCCCCATCGGCGCTGCCGCTATGGTAACATTATTCCTTTTCCTGCGCGTAAATTTCGACAGCACTACCGATTACCTGCAGCGCTTGAACCGCATCGACTGGCTCGGCAACATCCTCTTCATCCTCTCTATGATCTCCGTCCTGATCGCTCTTTCCTATGGTGGTAGCCAATACCCCTGGTCTTCCTTCCGCGTAATTGTCCCCTTAGTCCTTGGCTTTGTTGGATTCGCTGTCTTCTTCCTCTACGAAGCTTCCCCGAGATACTGCCTGAACCCCAACATGCCGCTACACCTTTTTGCTAACCGCACGTCCGCTACGGCCTTCGGTCTCACCTTTCTGCACAGCCTCTCCGCCATCGCGGTCATGTACTTCCTCCCTGTCTACTTTCAAGCTGTCCTTGCCGCTTCACCCAGTCGCTCGGGAGTCCAACTCCTCCCTACTATTCTGTTCATGATCTCGGCTGCCATCACCGCTGGCGGTTTACTCTCTAAATTGGGCCATTACCGTTCCATTCAACATGCTGGCTTCGCGTTCATGATCATCGGTTTCGGGCTGTTGACTTTGCTAAAAGCTCACCCGAGTACGGGCCAATGGGTCGGATTGCAGATTCCTAGTGCGGTGGGGACAGGTCTTGCCCTGCCCGTCCTCCTTCCTGCCGTGCAGGCGTCGCTCACGGAAGCAGATACGGCGCTCTCAACTTCAACGTGGGCGTTTATTCGCAGTTTCGGGCTTATATGGGGTGCGACTATTTCTACAGCGGCGTTTAATAATCGGGTGAATGCGTTGTTGGGGAGGGTTGGGGACTCGAGTGTTGCGGAGCAGTTGAGGGACGGGAAGGCATATGAGGCTGCTACGAAGGCGTTTATGGATTCAATTACCGATGTAGTGACAAGGGCACAGGTGGTTAGTCTTTATGTTGATGCTATTAAGACGGTGTGGTATGTTTCTATGGCTTTCGCTGGGCTGGCGTTTTTGCTGGTCGTTGTGGAGAAGGAGATTCCGCTGCGGAAGGAGTTGGATACCAAGTTCAGTATGGTGGAGAAGGAGAAAGAGGGGGCCCAGGCAAATCAACCTGCTCCGTGAGGGAATGGCCTAGTCAATCTTATAGTCCTAAAATAGTGAGTAACAATTTATGGTGTAACTATGAGTTGGATTATGTGACCTAAATGATACCATGCGGCAAGTCGAGCTGGGGTCTTGACCATGACTCTTTGGATATACCCAGTAAGGGAAGCAGCTCAGATGCCAAGTACGCTAACACTGTTCCATCTCTTCGACTCAATGCTTGAAAAACAAGGGACTGCGACATAGCCATCCTGTAGAGAGAGATTGGAGGCGTTATGAGCAGAGACCCAAAGACTCAATGAGATTGTGCACAGACCTACGCAGATGAGTGTCCGGGGTGGTAGGCCCGTGCACGAATGATAATATTCCACCCAAGTTCTTGTGTATTCAATGATTCTACTATATAAAGGCTCTACAAGTGAGCCTCGGAGAGAAAATAAAAGAAGAGTCGAACGTAGCCCACACGCATGATCTATTCACTGGTTCGCAGCAACATATTGTAGATGTTCCAGGTGAGAGAGTCAATATAAGGACGTATGAATACCGGGAACGCGACAAGGCAAACAAAGCCTTTTGACAAATGCGGACAAATGCGGACAAAGCCCCTTTTAAAAGCAGTTGAAAGGAAGTAGCATTCCCTACATGTGAACAATTCATGTCTTGGAGTGGCTAGCAGTTCTCTATGGTTCACCTCGATAGCCCAAATAGGAAAATACCCTGTGACACGCAGAGATTAGTCGAATGAATCCTCAAATCTGGGGATTTAAACCCCCCGTGGGCTTTGAGTTGGCGCTATACTGTCTTAGGTCGTATGTCTAATAGTGATTCTACATGTCTGATCAATTTAGGATTATGATAGGAACAGGTAAGAACCTTTATTAAATTAACGAAAAGCCCAGTCAATGGTAGCTATGAGTCTAGCAACCAAGTCTGGTGACCATAGAACAAAAGGCCTAACTGTTATGGTTAAAGTTGGCAATGACTAAACCAATATTGACCAAGGAAAGTTCCTACTATCAGTACCAGGCACATACTCTATGGATAACCAACTCTATTTCACTACAAAGACAAAAGCTTTGTGCTAGTCACTGGGTGGAAATCATGTATCTCAATGAACGTCTATAAATAGACCAACCATTCATCTTTCATATTTCACTGCCTGTCAGTGCATGTCAGTGCTGCAGCTGAACCTCGGCAATTACTTATAATCACACTGCCGTCAATCCATTCTTCTTTCGAATACACGTGACAACACGAAAAAGGAAAGCAATCACGATGGCAGCCCCCACCCAATCCCATAACGCCTTACCCGATGGCTTCAGTGTCACTGCTATCACTCTTGACCTAAATCGCGCAGAGTTCAAACGGTTTCTCCACGCCAGCCAAGACGTGCCCGGAACGAAAGAGTATTGGTCGGCTCCCCCAACCTCCATTCTTTGGCTCAGCTGTCATCCCCATAATTCTTACTACGACAGGGACGGCAAGGGCTGGGAGGCTATCGAGAGAAAACATGTTGCGACGCTGATCCGCGCCTTTACGAATATCCGAGCGAAATTCCCGACTCTCCAACCCGTATACGGGGTTATAGCCATTGGGGTGGATCTGCGACTGTACAGGGAGAGGCTGAACACAGAGGATGAAGCCGAGGATGGAAAGCTTGCGGTGGAACAGTTCTGGTTCAACGAACAAAACGTTTTTCACGATTATAAAGACATCGAAATCGTGAAGCAGTGGATGTCATCCATCCCTCTCAACTTTGAGCCGGATACACGTCTTAAGTCTAACCTTAAGGAACTCTACGGTTGGGATCCCATTTTCATCGACTTGTTGGGTATGTCTTGGCTGGATTCAGATGAATCTGACTAGCGGTTTGTACTGCCGAGTGAATCCTTCGCGTGCCTCGCTAGACCGATCTACGACAAGGCTCTCCATTTCCTGACAGACTTTGTTTCTAGGTTTATTGATTTACTCTGCGTGTTCGGAATACTAATGTGGAACGAGACTATTTATGCTAGGAGATGGTAAGGGGGACTGGGGGAATCTATTTCTCATGTTACGAATTCCCCATTGTGTGTCTACTTACTTGTGATCAACTGTGAGAGTTGCATGTTCAGATATTCGTATTCAGCTGTCCTGGGACAATAATGATAATGTTGCAAAAAGTCGAAACTGCCTACTACATAGGGAGACTCTCGTCTCTGTCCCATTAATCAAACACCTTCAGTTCCAGATCAAACTTAGTAAATCTCTTCTTTAACAGCATCAACAGAGCGTATATATTCGGCTGAATATTATTCGCGGCCTTCCGTTGGTTATATTCCAGCTGAAACGCCTCCAGCGAATAGTGGGGTATGTTGCGGTGGACACCCGAAAGGCACACGGTCCACCTCATCGATCGGCTGCTGCAACACGACAGTCTCCATCACAGGAAACAACACATACTCCTTCGTTCCTACCTGACTCTCCAACACCTGTCTCAGCTGACTTGCTAGCACAGGCATTATTCCCCGATCACAATCCTCCAAAAACAGTCCTTCCAGACTCAAAGGCAAGACATCCCATAAATCATTACCCACCCAGACATTGGAGAAGATGCCGTTTTGGAACTGCCATTATTCCGCACTTCTGTTAGGAGATTATCCACACGAATCCGCACCTGTCGTAGCGAGTGAAATACCCCTAGGTCCCCGATAGGATTCCTGGAAGGCCATGCGTACGTCTCTCGTATCCCTTCATACGGAAAGATCTCTCGACAGTCCCCAGAGTTCTTGAAAGGAGTTGCAAGAAGCTTCAGTCAGACCAAGGTACAGCTCAGCTGGGTTCAAAATATTGATCGGGGTTGAAGTAGCGACATGCTGTGTTCGAGCAACGGGTGATGCCTGGCGCATTGAGGTATTAATCCCAGCATCCTGGTTGGTATGATCGATGGTGGCTGGCGTCTTGACTTGTGGTAGGCCGCTGTCGTTGTGGCGGTAGATGAGGGACTTGAGCTTGGGGAGGCGGGTAAGGAGGCCGGGGAGTGTTGCAATGGTGGAGCAGCCGTGGAGGGTAAGGTGCGTTAGGTCGGAGTGGAAATAAGATTGATACAGCGGAAGGATCGGGCAAAGAGATGATGCGTCAAGCAAGTCGGTTGCATCGCCTTCTTCTGTGAATGATGGGAGTTTGTAGTTATCAATGGCTAACGAGGCGAACCTTCCGTATTGAAGGGAGCTGGGTAAATGGTATGAAGCTGGATATATATGAGCAGTCAACAGGCATCTGAGGGCTGAAGTTCAGCTCTGATAGCTGGGTAAGGCCTGTGAGAGGGTCATTTGGGTCAGTCAGCCGCGATAGAATGGACTGCGGGTATGACGAGATTGTGTCAAGGTATTTGAGCTCCAGCTTGCGCAAATTGGGCAGTTGGAGCAGCAGAATGGAGAACCATGTATCTTTACGGCCGGCTTCCAGTACTTCGCGCCACCAGCATACCTGGTCAGGAAGTGCCTTGAGAGGTTGCAAGAGGGCTTCGAGGAGCACGGAGTCGAGAGGAAGAGGCGTCTTGGGAACTCGGCCAACGAGCAGATCCTCTACGCTAAGGATTTGAATGGCAGATGCAATGTGGATATACCGACGTGTGTTCTGTGTGGCAGAGGCAATAAATGGAAGATATGGGACGTTCTCAAATCTTGGGAAAGAGCCTGTGTGGACATGGAAAAGCTTGGTGCACAAGGGGCTTGAACATCGTGTAGAGTCACCAACGAATCCGCAGCAGGGGGTTGATGTACCAGCCTTCATCGTTAGAGAAGGCACTGTGAGCCGCGGGGCCAAGGCATTCCCAGGTCTGTAGGAGCACTATATCGGGCAAACGATCAAGCATTCTAGTATGCTGTGGTTGTTAATGCATGTGGATACTGATCTGACCTTGGGGGTTCGGAGCTGCTCCGCGCCCCGTTGAAATATTTCGCAGATAATTACAAGCCAGGGGCCAGTCGTAGTGCACCAAAGGCAGCAATCCTATTGTAGTGGCACCATAATATTCATGCCCTTCGCCTGGACGCACTGGTACTCACGTCACTCACATCCAACAAGCAGTTCATGTGCTTTTAGAGAATGCATCTTCTCGCTCCGCCAATTGTAGGACATTGTATGCCATTGTTAATGGGGTTTACGTACGTCGGAGCTTGAAGTTACCGGGTTCATAAATGAAACAGTCAGTGAGATAATGACTTTCAATATTTCTTCAATCTGTGCTCTTAAATCTTCATATGCCTGGAGCAAGTGATACTGATGTCTCCCGGGTTGATTAGGTGCCAACTCAGAACTGAGACAGACTGAAGGGATCATTTCTGCCACATCCCTTGCCTGGTGTAGATGAAATATTTTGGGGGGAATATCTGAGGCAATCCTCCTTTGGGTTACTCTCAGTTTGTCCCACTTGTGGGAGCCTCTCATCCAGGAGAGAGGTATACTTGACCTTTTTTTCCCTACAGCTGAAATTGGATATAATTATCTAATGGAAATTAAACTACTACTCAGGATGAATACTAGGAACACCAATCAGTTTCAGGAATTAATTAAGTGTGCATCTGTTACTGCAACCTCTTCCTGGCGCCACGATTGTGAAAGAATATTCCTTGCCTTGTCATGGAACTGCGCAATATTGAGCAATATGATTAGTTAAAGGTTGTTTATTGTAGGGCATCCATTTCAGCAAAGCGATGGCACTAGACCCATCCCGATGCACCTTCTCTGCCCCGCGTGTTTGTGTTACTTCTTCGGTGACACGTTGTCGATGTCATCCTTTGATCTTTGTATGTGCCAGGCGTACACACCTCATGCGAAATATAAGCATTCATCGAAAGGCTCCCGAACATACAACGTTCATTTGTCTCTTCATCTTTCATTGTATCCTAATAATGTTTATCATCTATTAGTGATCACATAGAGGCCGTGTCATCCCTTGCGTATGTGACACGGCTTCATAAAACCTAATGCCATGGTGAGAACCCAACAAAGATACTCAGAGCAGCCAACAGGGTATTTCGCGAGGATCTCAAGCATGTCGTTTATATCCATCCCTTTTCAACTTGCCGCAAAGGCAAGTCGCGAAATTCAGACGGAAGAAGCCTCTATGAGAAAGATTTCAGACTTGTTTGTGGTTGAAGTCTCCTTTATCCGACTTCTTATTTGCTACAACGAAATACTGGGAGACTCCGACCCCTTTGTCCATGGTCTGCAGATCATCATGTTTAAAGGACCAGCACCTTGCCCCAAATCCAGCACTATGAACATAACAACAACGAAATGCCCACCAATAACCTGCCCATTCTGACGAAGCCAAATGGCTCTACTTCCAATCAGGTGACACCAGTCCCTGTAGAGCCGACCCGCAGCCTCACTATCCAGACGAAGAGTAGGATGTCGATCATCCCACCCCCGATTGATCCACTTGAGCAACTGGTGTGCATCATCTGCATGGAGGAATCCATCCCTCCGCACGTAAGACTTATTCAACCGTCTCAAACACATTCATATCCGTTCTAACACTACTCTCCTAGATGCTCTCTGATATATTTAGCGAAGCATACGCGAGCGACCGAAGTCTTCCCCCCAGTCTGATACTCTTAGACACCAACTTTATACACGCCCTCGATTCCCTGACTCCCGAATCAGCCAGTGTTCCCCCAGTCGACGACATGTTCTGCTCGCCTTTCGTGGGAATGGATGTCGAGCAGATAACGGACGTTATAACCAATACCTGCCAGAAAAGTATCCTCAGTACGAGGTTCTTCTACTTAGCAGACGATCTTACGGCCGCCACAGAAACACTCCGGAAAGTCGAGGTTGGCAAAACATTGGATTGGCATAGTTCTCGGGTTGCATGGAGGGATGCGAACATTATGGCTGCCAATTGGACTCGCGGATACGCTTCTGGTACGATTAGCAATGCTTGCCATTGAATCTTCTGAGTCCTCCGGATTTCTCATGAAGGAATGTGACGCTTCTGGCGTTTTGATAAAAAGGATACTGGAAGTCACATTCATAATACCAAGTGTTTGTTTTGATATACATAACTCTGATTTTATAAATGGGCCACCATAAGAAATGAACGAAGAGGAACATGGTCAGGTAATAAAAGAGCAATAGTACGCTAGTAATGTTTATATGTCAATGCAGGTATACAAACTATTCTCATCTCCTATCTTCTCAACTACATCGAACACCCCCGAACAAATTACCCTGCGACACAGAACGAATGCATGACAACCATGCATGATACAGGAGGCAGAATTCAGAAGGAACGCTTCCCTTCATCAGATTGGAGAACTATATGAATTCGTAAAACTTTTCACAGGTGATTTTCTCTCAATAATGGCTTTATTATAGAAATATTGACTACCCCACAACACTCCTAACAGCCGGAACGAAAGCAATCAGAAAAGTGGCTGATGACCATGCTTTTCTGCCAGCAATTGTGCCGAAGCCGCAACAGCCGCATTGCATCCGCTAGAAATGGCACCCGCAACCACCTTATACGGAGTGATACAATCACCCGCAGCAAAAACGCCCCGGATACTGGTCTGGTGGAAAGGCGCCGCAGCAGCTATATCCCCGGTACCAGGAACAAAGCTAGGTGCAAGTTCCAGGCCCAATTGAGTAGCGAACGTGCTCTTAACCTGCGTGTTGGGATTATGCACGATAAACGCCTCTTCGACCTGGCTACCATCGGCAAGCTGGACTAGAACGAAGGTCGAAGTACTCAGAACATCCCCATTGAGTTCCAGACCGGTGATTTCACGGTTATCGACCTTGAATACAGTATTGCTGCTCTGACTGGCCAATGTGGTAGCCAACTGTGACCCAAGGGCCTCCTGTCCATTGGTATAGATTGTAACCTGTTCGGCCAGCTGGGCAGCATTTTCCGCCTGATGCATCGCCATCGGCACATTTGCGGCGGACTGTATGGCAAGGACGCCTGCCCGTTTTGCGCTGCGGTCTTCGTATCCTTTGCAGAATAGGCAGTGAAAGCTATAGGAAAGTCTTAGTCGAAGCTTCGAAGCAACGAAAGGGAATGGTAAATGATGGCGAGCTTACATGCGCTTTCCCCAGGCATCGGCGTAGCCGGGTATGGGTGGGAAAATGTCCTGGGATCCAGTGGCAAGGATCAATTTTCTTCCTTCCCAAGAATTCCCACTTGCGTCGGTTACCCTGAATAGACCGTCCTCTCCTTTCTCCGCCTTTTCGATACTCGTGTTCTCCAAGCTAATGGTGGAGTAGTTTGACAGAATCTCCTGACGAGCCTGCTCACGAAATTGAGCCGGATCTCTGTGGTCCCACGTAGGGATCATGTGCATGAATGGGGAATTGCCGTTGCGGTATGACTGGTTATCGAAGAGGACCGCTGTGTGCAGTTGACGCGCAAGAGTGAGAGCAGCTGTTAAGCCAGCGGGCCCGCCGCCAATGATGAGAACATCAACTGGGTCGGAAGACATGTTGATTGACGATGAGTTGCTTAAATGAGGTAGCTTAGAGTATGGACAGATGTTATGATTGTACAGCAGAGAAATTTGTGAGGGCAAGATGTCGTTTAAATGTCGATCTGCTTAGCGAGGTGGGGGGTGTACGGGGGGTGGGAGCGGCGCTGTCAGCATAGCTACCACGAAGACGCTAAGCGTCCACTTCTTGCAGGAATCGCATCCCCGCTTGTAGACAGGATTAATACACAGAGCTTAAGGCACTAAAAAATCCCGCACACCCCTGTCAACCTTCCGCATTTGTGGCCTCTGGTACTCGCGCTGAAATACCTGGGAGGGATGGCGGTTAATTTCCAGGCCGAATAACGCCGATCAGACATTCGTATGGAGTACGAAAGACATAAATAAGGGTGCAAAGCAGCTCTCCCACACTAGCATTCCCAAATCGAAAGAAATCCTCATCAGGCTCTCTCCTCAACTCCACACAAGAACAAGTATCCATCTTCCACCGAGTAGAATTCATCCAAATCCCTGCGCAAGTAACTATACCCTGGAAGGCCATCTTATACGAGTCTGGCTAATGAGACACAGACATCATGCCTGGCCTCGTCGTGATACTCCTGACCTTCTGGCTGTCTGCCTCCGGAATTATGGCGAGCCCTACCCCTCAACTCAACGATGAATCTCCTCGTAGCCAATTCGGTTTTGCTGATGTGGCTGAGCCTGCGAACTGTTGTCTCTGATGTTGTCTGACAGAGATTTGTCTTGAGGGGCTGCCAATAGCAAACAGATGAAAGGCGAGAGAGGTGATTGGTGAGGGGGTCGGCGCTAGGCTATGTGATAAAGAAAATGAATAACTTGCTCGGTAAAAAAAAACAATCATCAATTTGACATGTGCTACAGTGCTAAGGATGAGACTTCTTTCTCTTTCACTTCGTTTTCCTGACTCGTAGTCATACTAGACCGTGTTATACCATCCACATCAGACACACTTTGTGTGCTTAGAGCTCCAATATTATAATCAAAAAGTTGATAAAGCTTTGTACACTCCCGTCAGGTGTAAGAAAGGGGGAGGTAGGGGTCAGTGTCGGAATACCTGCACCAGGGTGATCGGCAACATAATTGCACAACTTCTTTACTATTACTTCCTAATGTGCCAGTACCTACAACGAGCCATTCTAATCTCGCTCTTATACTCTGTTCTTCCTAGAAACTCAAACATACTCTACATACAGTGCTCATGGCCTAGAAACCTCTGCTTGTGAATTATTCGCCCTTTTCGGTGCCCCTTACTGCGTTCCTACCCTATCTTCCAGCTTCTGCGAAAGTATATTCTCCACGCCTTTGGATCACGAGTTGTCATTGATGTCAACAGAAGCCTTATGGAGCTTGATCAATTACTCTCCGGCCATGGGACCCATTCCTCGTCATATCCAAAGAAGCTCCTTATGATGGGAAGGTAGGGAGAATCGTTGGGGCAGTACTTGAATCTGTCCAGATTGGATATGTGTTCATCGGTGTGTGATAGCTCCTGATAGCATGGACTATGTTCGTTTACAAAAGCATCCAACTTCTCCCAATCACGACACATTCGAACCTGTCCATCACCAGGCCGAAACCCAGTCACTGCATTGTGAGGGACATACCTTGGTGTGTCATCTGCCGTGCACAACGTCTCCAGCCTGATACTATCAAGGCAGTGCAGAATATGTTCGTATGTGATGCTCTGTGGTTGATTATGGCGGTATTCCCGTATGGAAATGAATACATTTCGCTGACGCTGTTAGTAACTGATACAATAGGCACTGGGAACGAGCCATAGACACACATACCACACAGTGAAGAATATGATGGGAGTTGAGAATATAGATGCTCTTGCTAGCATCCCAAGGAAATGGCTGTGAATCTGGGAGCCCCATGCGCTTTGCCTCGCCGTTCTCGATGGCGATTATGCCACGCTCCCAGGGTATATGTTTATCCCACAGTTCATTTGTATAAGTTTCATTTGTAGAATTGCTATACTCCGTGTTCCACCAAAGGGTATCCTGTTTATTCCATTGAAGCTTCCCTATCTCAAGTTAGCAAGTTTGGTTTATATGAAACAGTGTAGATCCATACCAATTGTTGTTGGACATGAACTCGGAGTGAATACAGTACGCCAGACGACCACGAGATTTATCAAACCAGAGATGAAGGCAAAGAACGTCACAAGACGAGTGTGTAGCATTACTTTTGTCCTGGGATGGCCCCTCTTGAGGCTCGCGGGCACGTGAGCCTGCCCTCCGTTCATAGGAAGTAGGTGATTGCATTCTTCCTGTAGTTCCATGATGCCTATCTTCACTCCAATAATGACAGACGGATACGGGCTGTGCTTCTGGAAGAGAAGGCCGTCAGATGGGGAATATTCTCAGACCTTTAGCCAGAAATGCGCGCGGTCCTCCATCTTCGTGCCCTCCTCCCCTTCCTCTTCCCCCACTCCACCACCGGCCCCGCAGCTGAGTCGCCTTAAATGCAAGTCAGAAGGTGCGAGGCTATGTAACTGGACAGCTTCATGCATGGTTGCCTCGCATAAGTCTAGGGGCTAATTGCAGCCGGCACTCAGCCACCAACAGGACGCACGTCGGCGCCAATTACAGCCTTGCGTCTACAAACAGTACTTCGGTTATGGATTATTGTCAGAAGCGAGTCACTCTTTCATGGTATGAGGCGCCTGACGGTTATATAGCCCAAAACTCCTGTCTACCTTTCACACCACTAGTCACAGAACCGTTTCCGCAACGCGTTTATACTTCAAACCTGTCACAGGCTCTTCGAGATACCCACGATTATCACGAACATGTCGGCTAGCAGTAACTGGACCAACCAGCCCTTCGCCTTTGCTTCGAGTGGGGAAGTACTTACAGCTGGTTTCCTCCTGCCTCTAATCTGCTGTTTAGCCGTTACTTTGCGTTTCGTTTCGAGGGTGCGACAGAGGGCGCCTATTGGCATGGATGATTGGCTCACATTGCCAGCAATGGTATGCTTATCCTTTCACCAAAATTGGGCAATCGTTATTGATCATCATATAGGTTCTAATAATTGCTATGGGAGTGTGCCTGATTTATGGTGGGAGGCATATGTCAACGCTGGATCACTTTGTCCTTCTGCTTACATCGGCTAGGATATGCAAAGAAAATTATGGGCTACCCCACGCCATTTCCAGCCGGAAGTGACCCACAAAGCGCCATGTCGCGGTATATGGAGGCATATGAGACCGAGGCCAAGGTCAGTGCTTCACTAATGTTCATTAGGCGTGCTTACTTAGTTGTCAATAGATTGAGTTTTATTATCAGCTGTTTATGATTCCAGCATACGGCTTCATCAAGCTTAGCATCATCCTATTCTATCGGCGTATTTTCGTCGTATCCAAAACTTCGAAGCTGAGTTGGGCCTTCCAAGGTCTTGTTGGCCTGACTGTTGTGTGGACCCTCGCATTTTTCTTCCTTTTTTTGTTCGGATGCAGAGAGAAGATCTACCTTCATTGGGCCCCGCTTGAGGAAGTCAACAATCAGTGCGGTAATCCACTCACAGCGGAGTCGGCCCTTGTCATTTCGGACCTCATAATGGATCTTATCATCTTTTGCTTACCCCTACCAATTGTTCGTCCTGTACCCTGTCCACTCTCTGGATACGGATGTTGTCTAACATACTTCGTACGTGGTGTAGATCTGGGGCCTCCAAATGCGTCCGGGCCAAAAGGTAGCTCTAATTGGAGTCTTCTGCGTGGGTTTTGTGTGAGTATAAACTCATTTCTGGCAGAGTGTCAGAGGATGGGACTAACATCCGTTCCCCATTTAGAGCTGTTGCGGCATCGATAGTACGTCTCGCAATTTACCTCATTGTGTACAAAATTGGCCTCGATGCCGGATATGACTTGGACCGTGAGTATCCCTCGGGCAATCACTCATGAATACCCCTGGCTGAGACACCCCAATAGAGACCGTTACGACGATGCTTTGGTGGAGTATGATTGAGGCTAGTTTAGGGCTTATAGTTGCTTGCCTACCAGTGCTCCGCCCCCTCCTCAGCAATATCAAGTTTGGCCGGACTCCACGCAAGGATCGCAGTGACGGGGTAAGTGAGGAGTCCCGACAGCGCCTCTTCACATTGGAACCATATTCTGCACCCGCATTCCGAACTCAGAGTAAGCCTGGTAGCTGGACCACGCCCTCCAACCCCTCACTCCATGGAGAGGTGTGACGTGGACATGACATTAGCCAATCATGAGGGCCACAGACAGGGATTATGTGGAGGTTGTTAAGACGATGGGCGGTGGGTTGGAGGGGCGAGAACAATCAAAGCTACAGCCGCATTTCCCTTAACAGAATCTTGCGCGACACAGATATATGTTTGTCTACACTACGGAGTACACGCCCCACATATGTGATTCATGACACATGCAGCTCGTTTTCAGTGTGATGAATACTGCCCTATCAGGTTCCGATATGTGAACGACACTAAGGCACTAGTAATTGCGCGGGAGCGGAAAAGCGGCAATCTGCGTTTGTGGTCGATCAATTCCGTGGCTGGGTAATGCAGCCGGGCCTTGTTTGACCCCTGTTCCTTGACTGCGCAAGCGAAGTGCTACATGCCTATCGTGCATCAGTAGTTCCCGACAAACTCGGACGGAGTCCCTGATGTCTAACTCCGTATTGACCTACTCAGCCTTGCAAAGTCCAGAGGCACAGACCGCGAGCAGGAATATAGGGCGGATCCCGAATAACATGCTTTTCGAGTGAACAGAGCCTTGCATAATTGATGACATAAGTATATAATGATTTAACAAAATGACTGTAAAGCCCTCTGATCGTAACACATATGCTTTAGTATTAAGTCTTGAAGGTGATCTGATTTGCTATTGAAGATATTGGTGGCGTGTTCTATAGCCGTGCTTGGTGTCCGTTCGTAATTGGTGCCTCGACAGTGTCTCACCGTGTCCCCCTCCAATCCACATCCATGGGGGCTTCCAACCTTGTCGTTTCGCGCGTCTCTCTTACATCTGAAGGGGAATGGGATGAGCTCATTGCTGGCTACTGGGCTTCCTGGCTGGACCCGTTCCAGGCTACAGGAGAGCTCACTTTCGCTCATTTAGGCACAAGAAGTCCGGCAGAACAGAAAGCATTTTCGAAGGTCAAGAATGATCTATTGAACCAAGCACGATCAGATCCAGATAACACAGTATGGCTCAAATGTGTCGATGTCCAACTTAAGCGTATTATTGGCGGTGGGATGTACAAGATCTATCGGTCCAATCCCTATAGAGCAGGCGCACCCACACCCGTCGCTGACTGGTTCCCCGATGGGAGCGAGAAACGGGCTCTCGCAGAGGCGATGTACAGACAGCTATGGGCGTGGAGAGCCAAATTGATGACGGAAAAACATTTCTGTAAGTGCTTTTGCAACACGAAAGTTTAATAAATCAGTGACACTCCCTAACATCGAGTCACAGGTGGCTGCGCACTTTGGACCCTGCCAGAATATCGCTATCAAGGGGCTGCAGGCCTTATACTCGAACGATTTGTGCGGCATGCGGACGAGTTCCAAATGGAAGCATACTTGGAGGGGTCCGAGATGGCTGTCCGCCTCTATGAGCAGTACGGATTCACCGTTGTGTCTGAGGCAAAACTATATTTCGAACCCCCAGATGGGACAGCAGGCAGTGCGGATTGGTGGCGGCTTGTTCATAACCTACAGTCTCATCCCGTCAGTATTATGTGGAGACCAGTAGGTGGGCAGCAGGGATTGAAGTATCCATGGGAAAAGGATGGTCCGCAGTCAAGATTGTAGCTTTCAGCCTCTCTGGTGTTCATTTTCTTGACCTGGTTTTGCATTCAGATGTATGCTGTTATATTGATTTGTCTGGCAAAGGTAGTATGGGATGGTTATTACGCGTGAAGTTCCCCTACGAATCAGCAATTATCAATACACATCTAGGCATATCCTTCTGATGACATTGCTCGCGGGTTTTACCTACAAGAATGTCAGGGTTTCGATCATTTCATTATTGCGAGAATCCTGAAAGTCTCATATCCATCTTAGCTTACCATACAAGCGCGGTCTGAATTGCTGAGCTCAGAATTCTGGTCTTTTACCGGATGATTTAGCAACTCCACCTATGAAGAATTCACGTTTTAAGTGCACCAGGAGCGGATTTTAATCATTACGCTGGTTCTAAACTATGGTCTGCTCTAACACCATCCATCTACTAAGGAGCATGTCAGACGGCATGATTCATAGCATTGTGGCAGTTGTAATTATTTCAGTTCGTATCACACATTCCTTAATAAACAACGGTTAAGAAATCATTGCCCATCCAGCTTTGTTGTTTCTGTCGGGACTGAAACTATTGATATGTGTATATATCTCAGCAGTCTTCCACTTGGACTATAGTATTCGCATGATTCGCTTTTAGTATTATATGAAAAAATCATCGAAACACTACCATGGTCGAACACACACCCGAACAATGATGGCGACCTCGAAGTAAGCACTTCAACACATCTTCCTCATGGACTCCAAAATGGGGACAGAGATAATGGCCGTCGTAAAATTAAAAGATAAAAAACATACAACAGAAGGGATTCGCTGGTGGTCACCCACCCAACTACTAACCTCCCGGCGTGTGGCTTAAGTACGGCTGAGCGGACGGGAAGCCCTGTTTTCCACACCCTGTGGTCGTATGTGATATATTACTCATCTGTAGAATTCTTAGCTATTGTGTTTTGCTGTCCGATACTAATCTACTATCAAACCCATACAACAGAGAGTAGCATCTGGATCCTCTACAGTATGCCCTGATAGGCCAGGGACTCCGTCCGTTCTATTACATTCATACAGAGATACAATGGTGCTATTTGCTTGAATACATATTTTCATCGAATTTTCCATTCATCTAATATCAAAGACCAGTTGCATAAGAATATAATAGGTATGGGACGAGTCAGTATACATCTACATGCCGGAGCCCCAATTAGATCAGGCAGGGTTCTAGGGAAAAGTGAGCCACAAGGCACACCGCAACCTCGTACAATTCGATACTCCTACTTGATACAAGTTGTACAGCCTGATGCAGTATTGTCTAGGATTGAAATTAGCTAAAGCCTATGAAAGTCGCTGTGGCAGCGTAGTAAGCCGCCATTTGTTCCTCAACCTGGAACTCACCATGTTAGGATCCATTCCGAAAAATTCTTTGTCTCAGCCCTTCATTCGTCGACTTCCCCTTACGTCGTGTCAAATACTAAGCGTGTGAACAATGACACCAGTAACATAGCACACGGTCTGGTGAACACAAAACCTTGTCAATATCACCTCAAGGCTTTCCTGGCAAGCTACCCTCTTCCATGTCCTCAGCTTTGTCTTCGTCCTTGTCCTCGTCCTTGTTGCCAGTGGCCACGAACCCACCACGCTTGAAATCCTTCTCCTCTCTCTCCAGCTCATCATATTCCTCCGGGGTAAACTCGTAGACTTTCAAATGCTCTGGAATATCCTCGTATGTAATGTTTTCTGTGGCCCACAATTCCCATAGCTCATCTCGGTGCTCCCGGGGCACCCCGTGCTTAATATGGAAGGCATATCCACAAAAGATAATTTCGGTCACATGTTCTCCGGGCTCGGGTTTTTCTATATCTCCTTCTCCTAGCTGAACATCTTCCTCACGGTCGCTTTCTGGGACTGTGTCAGGGTGCTTCTCCATCTTCAATAGGAAAGACCTGTCAAATGTCAGTGAGATGCTGATAACCGCAGTACACAGCGGCTATTGTCTGACAGTAGGGATATCAGGGTAGGATTACGTGAAGGGGATAGCGGTTTCGCAGATTAAGGTATATGAGGGTGGTGATTTGGTGGAGGATTCCGTAGTGCTGTCTGGATTAAAGAGTGCAAAGTTAGGGGTCAGAATAGCCATGAGGTAACCTTGAAACACTCTTTAGGCAGCAGAGTTGCAGGGGTTCGCCGAAAATTGATGTAACCTTTTCGGCAGTCTCCGCAGCGTGTACATTTTAGGGCACGGTATCTGCGACAAGGGTACCTCAGTACCCAGCGGCACAAAGAGAGTATTGGGAAGGACAAAGGTCTCACTCGGTTTATCCCCAGCTAGTCAGCTTGCGGATCACGGTGAACATGGGCGTTGTTCATTCACCTAAGTGGGTAAGCCTAGTTCAAGTCGGTAGTCGATGTTCCTACCTTCCAGGATACATGTGGTGCAATGTTGATGATGGAGGGGGTTACAGGCCTATCATAACAATATTGGGGCACATAGCACAACAGATGCATATATGGCTTAGTATGAGGCAGTCCCCTAATGATACATGCGGCGTACCTATTAGCGCTGTGTTGCATACGAGGCTTTTCCTTTGTTCTACCAGATCCATTGAGATTATTCAGATTGGTGTCTGACCTGAGTACACTGCACTTTGCCGATAAGGTATGGGTCTAGGCTTTTGCGTGACGGTGCGAGTGGTGCAATGGAGAATAATAATACAACCAAAAATATGAAAAGGGCCTGACGGGAGTTCAGGATTGCCGATGCAGTGCCTGGTAGCAATATGTGGGTCTTCCATTGTTCTTTGTGACCAATACATTCGTATTCACTGGCACTTTTGGGACTCAGTTGACCCCTGTTTCTCTTTTTTGTTCTGTCTAATTCGCAATCAGAACCTCCAAGATCAGAAAGCCGTACACTATCAATGTAGTGCCTCGTGGAACATTATTCAACGAAGTTGTAATATGTGATTCTCTCTATGCTCAATATTGTACTACTGAGACTAGTGCCTACACAGTGTTTGGTCTATATCAGGCGCGAGTTTCCCGCGTCAGTTTTCTGGAGAAAGGCGACCTGAATCCACATGAACAATCTCAAAATCCGATCTCAGAATTCTTGTTTCCTTCCCCCAATATTAGACTTTCTAGTATGCTCACCCTTTCTTCTTTGGTGGTTATTCTAACCATTATGTGTTCCTTGGCGCCTGCTGTTACTATCCGCAACTACGAAGAACGCAATTGCCGAACTATCAGGGGTAGATTTGCGGCATGTCGGAATGCCGCTGAGCGTGCGTGCTGCGACAACAGACCGGCGCCCACCTACTCATCAAGCAAATTCACCGGTCTGCCACCAACCGCCATTGGGTCTATATGCACTCACCTTCGGGGACAGAATTGTGGCCTCGCCAGGGACAGCGGTCATGGACTAAGCCTGTGTCTCAACTACCCTAAATCCCGTGGGGCATGGTGGTTCGATTGCCGTAACTGCCGAAGGCCGGATCAGCAAATATCTGACCTGGAGCTGGCCACGGCACACAAAGCGAACACCTCAGTCGAACCGGACATGATCGGCTTTGATGGACACGAGTTTAGCATCAACGAGTCTACACCGAAGGGTATACGGGATACGCTTCTTGCTTACTTTGGCTTTGACACAACCTATGCCGATATTCCCGAGGAATATCGAATCTACGAAGTGTTCGAGGATGCGGAGGATTAACAGTTTTTTCACAGAACTTTTGGTTGGGCTTTTCTGGTTTGGTGGATATTGGTTCAATTCAATTTAAAACCACTCATATCCATATACCTGACTGACCCCGCTGTGGAAGATGCTAGCTATGCAGGTGTTTTACCGTTTGAAGCAGATAATATGGCCCGAAACGCCTCAAATCTCTCAAATCCCGTAGTATACAGATGTATCCATGGAAAAGGCACCGCAGCGACATAGGAAGATAGTCGCTGTCGCTATAAGCACAACTAAACGGAAAAGGCGTAGCCATACAAGATTCAGAAATGTAAAGCAAGCGTCGCAGTTGGCCAGCCGGCTGACTAGCCAGCCGCATGGCAATCTGCCCCCAATTCCGTCCCCTCCTTTCTTCGTACATGTTCCTGCTTCTAGTATTCTTGTTCCTTCTTATCTGCGTGTTCTTCCCCGCTGATTCAAACGGCGTGTACTCGCTTCGATTTACCCGGCATATTCAGCATCTATCCCCCATGCCCTGGGGACTACGTGGTTTTAGCTCAGGTCGGGGCTAACTAGTTCCGGAACAGGATCGAGTTCAACCTAGCTGAACTGCCCGAGCAAGCGTGTCTCCAGCATGATTCGGCTGCTGGATGCGTGTAAACATCGCATCAGCTTTCATGGAAGGGAAGAGCTACCGCGTGACATCGGCCAGGGATTTTCCACACCACACTATGCTAATGCCACACCCTGCTGCCGAGTTTAGAGGGCGATGCTTCTAAGTCAATATGATAGAGCGTGCTTTTAGTGCGGGGAGAAACCTTCCAGTCTACATCATAAAGAAAATTGATTACCTGCCTGAGGTATACATTTACTGCCTACACCTACAACGAATCATAAAGTTGGGCAGTATATTTCTACCCGTACTAGGAGCAGACTTTGTTTTGTAAGGTCTAAGCCTTACTCTCTACGATAAGCAGAAAGCAGGCAGGGGTGTGGCATGAGCGAATTCTTGTATGGAAGAAACCTGGTAGGTGTGGCGGTAACGCCCCCCTTCAACAAATGCATGGAAGAAGATATCTACTCTATAGCAGAGCCACTGCGAGTTACTACTCGCTCAAGTATCTACTCACAACGGAGTAGATAGTAGGTATCGCTAGCCGAGATAAGGACATGTGAGTCCCGAAAACGCGCAAGCAGCTCCAGGCCGCTCGGACTTTCTTTCCTTGTTCTACTTAGTTCTAGAGCGGGAAGAGTCAATCGTCGCAGGAGTTGGTCAGGGTCTTGCTCGGCCCTACGGACTAGTGGGGTAGCCATTTAGATTATGACTGCCGCTTCTTCCGGGTTTATTTCTTTCGTCCACGTCTTCCTCTCTGCCTGGCGTATAGATAATCTCTCTTCTCTGCTCCCTTGATGATAGACTTGATTATTTCATACATACATGATTCATACATACCATGTCGCAAGAACCGACTCTCAACAAACTTTCCACTCCATCTAACCAGGAGAATAACCAAGAAGAGCAGCCAAACTCGCAGCAAACAAGTTCTGAGCATGAGGCTCTCCTGCCAGATAGCGAGCCACGGGGGCCTCCAAACGCTCCTGTGATCATATTTTGTATCTCCTGTATCACTTTCAGTAGTTCCTATCTGGGTGGTCTTGTCACCGTGTCTGTTCCACAAATCTCCTCGGATCTGCACCTTAGTCCTGGAGTGGAGTTATGGTGTGTTACAAATCTTTGCGTTGTGGTCGCATCAAACAGAAAACAGAACTGACAAAGAGATAAAATAGGCCAGTATCGATGTTCGCCCTCGGAACAGGATGCACACTGCTCATTTCGGGTGCCATCTCCGATGCGGTAGGCAGCAAAGCAACTCTACTCGCGGGATGCTTTCTACAGAGTGTTTCTTCGATGGCCTGTGGCCTCGCTCAAACCGGAACCCAACTGATAATCTTCAGAATCATCTCTGGTGTCGCGGCCTCACTCTGTATGCCGTCTGCCATGAGTATCATTGCTGAGCACTTCCCATCCGGACAGCTCAGGAATCTTGCCTTTGCTCTGATGGGATCGGGTCAACCCATCGGATTCGGTGTCGGACTTCTTCTGGGTGGTGTTTTTGCAGACACTGTGAGCTGGCGCTGGGGCTTTTACAGCGCAGCCATTGCCAATACCCCGGTCTTCCTCCTATCGGTACGGCAATTGCCCGGCAGGACTTCTGGGCAACAGGGTGTTTCGTGGCGTAACTTCTTCTTCGGAATTGACTGGATCGGAGCTCTGACTGCAAGTACTGCTCTGGCTCTACTCTCATATACTTTGGCGTTCGTATAACCCAAGATTGACTTGACACGAAGTACCGCTAACTTGAATTACTCACTATGTTAGGGTCATTACAGATGATGTATCAGAGATCCACGAATTAAGCACCATTATATTTCTCTTCCTGTCCGTCATTCTCGTGGTTTTCTTCGCTTTCTGGCAAGGTCAACAAGAGCACCAATCTTGTCCCACCTTAATCAAGAACTCGTTATGGAAAAACTCAGCCTTCACTTGCATCTGCGCCAACGTATTCCTGATCTGGGGTGCATTCAATGCTTTTGAGCAAATAGCCAACTTCTTCTTCCAAGACGTTCAGCAACTCTCAGTATTCAGTACTTCAGTACGCTTCGTCCCAGTAACTGTCATGGGTGTACTTACAAGTCTGGTCACTGGCATGATTTTGCATCGAGTGCGCGCTGATTCCCTGATTAACTGGGCTACTATTCTCTCATCCCTTTCGCCGCTGCTCATATCACTTATCAATCCCGCGTGGACATATTGGCGCAGTGCATTCTTTGCCATGTGCCTCAACCCAATCGCAGCTGATGTTCTATTCACGGTTTCGACTATTCTGATTGCTGGGATGTTTCCTGCGGAGACACAGGGGCTGGCTGCCGGCGTCTTTAATACAGTGTCCCAGTTCGGTCGAAGCATTGGGCTGGCATTGGTGGCGTTGATCGCAAATAGCGTCACTGATAAGTACGCTCAATCGGAGAACAAGAAGAGTCCCGAGGCATTGATGGTGGGCTATCGTGCGGCCTTTTGGTTCCTTTTTGTGATGAATATTGTCAGTTTGGTGGTGAGTTCGATCGGGTTGCGGAAGATCGGGAATGTGGGACGAAAAAGATCTTTGGGGGTCTAAGTCTTCGCGGGGATGACTGTCTGTGACATTCAAAAATATTAATCGGTAGATAGAACAAACAGATAGTGAAGACCAGTTATATAGTAAAGAAATAACAACAGAATTGGATTCGCAAACTGTTGCCAACAAACATTCTATTTGACCAATCGCCAATAGGAGTATCCTAGAGCAATAGTAGCTCCCTACAACTTCGCCCTATTCTGACCTCTCTTCAATCTCAACCAATATTCATCCTTGGCCTTCAAAATCTCAAATGCTTCATCGGCCCACCTGTCCTCAAACGGCGGCAACCCAGCCCCCTCACCCGCAATGTCCAACAACGCCTCGAAATACTCCCTAAAATCCGGCTTGATTTCATGGAACGCAACCCCATTCCCTTTAATCTTCAATCTCTCAAATTCCCACCGATCCTGCTCCGCCTGACTCGGCAGCTCCTTCGCCCGGCCAGAGAAATACCTCGCCACCGCAACAGCCTGGTACTCGTAGACGCGGAAGCTAAGAGCAGCACGCACCTGGCCCACCAGAGCCAGTGAGGGGTCCGAGATGCGGAAGATGTGCTGGTAAAATCCCGCAACGCGGTTATTAGCCGTGACGAGGTCCGGGACAAGGAAGGGGTAGGACGTGGTGTAGCCTGTGGCGAAGATAACTCGGTCCAGTGATTCGAGTTTGGTGCCGTCGGTGAAGTGGGCTGTTACGGTGTTGTTTTTGCTTCCTGATGCCGTGGTAGGTTCGAGGCGAGATAGAGTGGGCTTGCGCTCGACGTTGGGCAGGGTCCAGGCATTCTCGAGGGCGGGGTTGATTCCGCGTTGGCTGATGTAGAGGGGTCCGGAGACGATCTCGTGGAGTTCGGTGACCAGGTCAGCGGCGGAGACGTTACCGCCAATGATGAGGACGCGCTTGTTTACGTAGTTGTCGGCGTGGCGAAAGGCCTTGGCGTGTTCGAAGGCTTGGGGGTGTGTTAAGGCTGTGGTGGATAGGCCTGGGATGGATGGGATGGAAGGCACGTTGTAGTGACCTGAAGCGATAATTACGGCGTCGAAGGTCTGGGTCCACCAGTAGTCTTGGGTTAGGCCGCGGTAGAGCTGGCCGGTTTTGCGGAGGGTCAAGGTCCATTCGTGGCCGGTTTTCTCGACCCGTTCGACTGTCGTGCTTAGCGAGACTAGGTGCAGGTAGGGGATGAAGAGGTCCTCCAGGTAGTTGGCCACGGTACGGAACGGACGGGAGGCATTGGATGGGCCGAAGGTTTTGATTGAGGTTGATGAGTTAATTTCGGGAAATGGTGTGTGGGTGAAAGCCATTGTTTTGGCACCGACATTGCTGTCGAGGTGGGAGTAAATCCCTGTTCTGGCACTGGTGTCTTCCGGGCGTGGAGAGGTGAACTGGGGAAGACTGCTGGGGATGTTGGGAGTCTGTGATGGGCTATCGGGGGCAAGAAACGGGTCTGGGGTTGGGTCATAGTGCCAGATGCCTCCTACACGGTCGCGCCTCTCGAAAACCCGAATTTTGTCAAAGTTATTCTCGTCATGGAGAGCCTTGACGGCGGAGAGGCCTGAAGGGCCTGTGCCAATGACGGCAATTCGACGATATCTAGGTGTCATGTTTGCATTTGCAGATTGATGTGACGTGGAATACAGATACATCCTACAGCCCTCACGTCGGTATATATACTGGCAGTTGTGCGGGGAAATCATCCCTTGGAGACATCATGTTGCGTGCTATTGCCGTTGCGTGATCGACGCTAGCATGAGCCATGCAGTTGGTTTGCCGGCCGTAGGCAGATTCGGGGATGATAAGTGGTCAATGGCATACCAAATCTTTCGGCAGATGGTGTCATCGGAATTGCTATCTCTACTTTTACGCAATACCTCGACTGTGACTGATAGTCTAGAAGTGATTACTCTATACATTCCCTATGAGGGTTATAGTGACCCCGTGATGTCCTTCTCTGATTCCGCTGCCTAAACAAGACATTTGATGCCTTAGGCAGAAATTTCTCATGCTTCCCGATATCATTGGTTATTACTCTTGTCTTATTACTTCCGTGCGGCATGGGTAGTCGGCTGTTGCAAAAAAATAAGTGAATGTTCGGGCTCTGCTCCTGGCCTCTTCTCTAGCAGAGCACCGCGACTTCAAAACCTTGGAAACATCCGCAAGCATAGCTTAAAAATAAGTTTATATCCGTACCAGTCTTATCTCGCAAATGGACCCGTTCGGGCGTTCGAAGACGGAAATCCGGATCAAACGAAAGACATCTGACCCCATCTCGGCATGCCGACCGGAATTTGCACAGCATGAACTCGTTCCGGGCCTTGAAATCGGCAAGCAACGATTCTAGAAGCTCATTTGTACATAAGCCCACGGCTACCGAACATGTAGCCCATCACAAAAGATTGTTCGTAACACCATGGCAGACACACAGCAAATCACCGGACGCGCCATAGTCTCTCATGGCCCCTTCCAGGCCGGCGGTTGGAAGCTTCAGAATGTCACGCTGCGACCGCTCCGGGAGAATGAGCTGCTTGTTGAGGTTGTTGCCTCAGGTGTCTGCCACACTGATCTGCATTTTGCTGGTTTGGAGAGTGGCCATGGTGTACATTATCCGCGAGTGATGGGTCACGAAGGTAATTACTCACTTCCTTTATGCTAATAGGTTTCAAAAGAACCTGACAATCATCGCTCTATAGGTGCCGGATATGTTCGTCAGGTCGGGCCCAAAGTCACCGCAGCCCGAGTCGGCGACCCAGTGCTCTTATCATTCTCCGCATGTCAGACCTGCCAATGCTGTCGTCGAGGTCATCCTGCACACTGTCACAATTTCGATCCTATTAATTTCGAGTCCACTCAAGCAAACCGCGTCTTCTGGGACGCTGATGCGGACTTGTCAACAGTCTCTACGGAGCCGAACATTTTTGGACAGTTCTTTGGGCAATCGAGCTTTGCTAGCTGGACACTAGTGCAGGAGGAATCGGTGGTGAATGTCTCCGGGCTGGTGGAGGGACGGGAGGGCCTTCAGCTGCTGGCACCATTGGGATGTGGCGTCCAGACAGGTGCAGGTGCGGTTATCAACGCAGCAAGCGCACAGCCTGGGGATACTGTAGCTGTGCTCGGGTTGGGAGGTGTTGGGTTGAGTGCGGTGATGGGAGCGCGTATCGCTGGTTGCAGGACAATCATCGGTGTGGCCCGAAATCAGGCCCGTCTCGAGTTGGCGCTGGCGCTTGGGGCCACGCATGTTGTTCGCATCAATCCGAATGCTGATGAACATCATGTAACAGAGGCGGTTCTTGCCCTTACTGATGATCTAGGCGCAGACGTGACGTTGGAAACTACAGGGGTGCCGAAGTTGATCGCCGAGGGCATGCGCATGACAGCTAACAAGGGGAGGATTGTTCAGCTTGGGACAGCACCAGAAAATACATTGCTTAGTCTTCCGGTTCATGAGTTCATGGTCGCTGGAAAGCAATACATAGGGGTCGTGGAGGGAGACGTTGTTCCTCGAACGTTTGTGCCTAAGATGATTGAGTGGATCAAGACAGGACTACTACCATTGCATGAGATGGTGGGCTTTTATCAAGCAGAGGACTACAGAACAGCGATAAGCGACATGAAGAGTGGGAAGACCATCAAACCGGTTCTTTTATGGTAAATATACTGTTTAGCCTTTCTGTCCACTGTGTGCTTCCTAGTTTCCTTAATCCCAATCTAGCTCATGGCAGACGAAATATACACATGATCCTCCATACGTTTCCCAGTACCGGCGGCCACCAAATATTGAACTGCTATAGACTTCACTATTGCAGCACTGGATTCCACATCTTCGTAAAATATGGAACATACAGCGATTGGACTCCAATAAGTCCTCTTCCTCGCTCTGATACGGAGAATATAGATTCAGAATCCTCCTGGTAATCCCACTCAGCTGTTTTAGAAGTCTGTCCGCTTTCATGATTAGTTCGGTTGACATATGTTCAATAAAGAGAGAACAAAAAAATGTCGGTCACGGCCAATCGAAGCAGGGGTGACGTGAAAGCGAGATAGAAGTGGTTTAGGAGTGAGCAACATGTAGCCATATAGTGGTACGGCCCAGCTCGGCGGGTGTCATTTCTTATATGTCATTATGTCGAGGTTTAACCGATGGCATGATCAGGTAGCAAGCTAGCCTAGTTCTAACTACCAAAAGCTTTCCCCCTATGTGTTCTCCATGGAAAGTTACGCCGAGCGTGTACACGGTGTCGGTATTTCAGCTTGGTTTAGCCGACCGACATGGCCCACCGACCGCGGAGACGAAGCCGCGAATTTAACATTTATCTCAGCATAGAAGCTGGCGTCAATTCAGAAGCTCCCCTTTTCTAGTCAACGGCTACAAGAGCCCGGATCAGATAACTGATGTAGCTGGAGTTAAATCAGGGCTAAAGGGCCGATGAACGAGGGTCTCCTATCCTTCCGTGTCCTATCAATCAGTTCACATCCCGGTCATTGACTCGCTTAGACCCTTGAAACACTCCGTCTGTTCGATCCACTCCTAGGAGATGCGAAGACGTCTGCACAGCCAGTGTAGGGGCCCGTAACGCGCGGGAAGGGTGCTTAGATACGTAATTAGGCCGCCGATCTTTCCCCGTAATCCTCAGTCTATCTGCGTGACAGATCTCGTTTGCGAGCGGAACCTGAAGCTTGACGGCGAGTGGACCTGAACCAGGGGTGAGTACTAGCATTCCATCATATTATAAGTTGAAGCTCAGTCCTGAACAAACGAATATGGACCAAATACTCTGCGGGTTTCCGACTTGTTTACGAAGTACATTCATCTGCTCCAGGAACACCTTTCTAAAATTCCGTTTAGTATTATGAAATGGTCTAATATACTCTCCGGTGCAGCTACAGCGTTCGCATATGGTAGCGGAGCAGTTACACCCATCACCAATCGAACCAACACCGGGGTAGAATATGTGTCTGGCAACTATGTCCCCTTTCAACCCGGCTTCCTAGGTACTCCTTGTGGACCCCTCCGTGAAGCAAGTCAATCGGCTAGCGCACGTTCATTTTTGCAAGGTGGGAAATGGGAGTTTTTCTACAGCTCGAACCTGTGACTCTTCGCGGTACCGGCTACTTGCGCCTTCGGTGGGAGGTTGAGTACTGGAAGTGAGTTCAACAAACGGCAACATCATGATACCTGTCGATTACACCATACTAAGCTCGGCTCTTCGCTTTTTAGACACTCCGGTTCAGCGGCCGACATCATCATGAAACCCAACGGAACTTGGCTCCCTGTTGCCGGCGGCGGCGGATACCAGATGGGCGATGACTCTCCTGCCCCTTACTGCAACGACCCTCGTGGTAATTGCTTTACTGGCCCCGGTGGCGATACCGATGGATATGTGTGGTTCACGAATGGCCACAACCCCTGGCATAGTGAATATTATTGGCTGGATGGTGGAGTGTATCTTCAGACGCAGGAGGGTCCTGGTGATTATAATGTTGGCGTCAGTCCTATCAGTAAGTCAACCAGTTCATTCCAGAGTATATCTAGAGGGAGGCTAAACGAGATTCTGATCACTCATCAATATCATAGCGATCGACGATATCTTGAGCGACATCAACACCAATATCAACGCTGCTTATCACTACGGTGTCTCCTTTGATCCCAAGGAGAGGCGTGCCCGTGCTCGATCAGCCCCGTCTCATCAACAGAACTTGCTGTATCTACCTCTGCGACTCCATATGTCGCTTAGTTCCATCGAAACCTGCGTCTGCAGTCCGTCCTTTAACCACCGGGTGAGCTAGTCCCTTCACATCGACAAATGATACAATATCTTTCCCTCTTCTTTCTACGCCTTCATTACTATTAGAACCTCAAGCATGCGTGGACAAAACCACTCGTAGCATTGACACCTCTAGTCAATATTATAGTATATTAAATTATTCTTCACCCTTCTCCCCCTTCAAATATAAACCCCTCTACCACTATACCCACCACCAATATTTCATAAGAAATCCGACATGCTGTTGAATCAAGTCCAGTCCTGCTCGACTAAAACCCCCAAACGCCTCGCTGAAAGGCAGCATAAGTTGTTGAAAACGCTAAAATGATATTATACAGGTTAGTAAAATTAAGCCGTCTGCGGCTCGGCCTCACTATCATCGACAGACTTGGCGGTATCCTCCGCGCGAACCTCCACTTCATGGGTATGCTCGAGCTCGGAGATGATGATCCACGTGGGGATCACGCAGAGCAAGGTGATGCCGAAGTTGAGGCCGATGCTGACGAAGTGGTTGGCGTTGCCTTCGGATTGCATACTAGATGTGATTCGTTAGTTAGCTGGACATATCTTTCGTAGATACGGGAAAGGTATGGGACTCACGCCCAAGCAACAGTCTGTCCCAGAGCCTCGAATCCACGGAGAATACCGCAGTGGTGAGACAGGGAAGAAAGGTCGGTAGTGTACTGCCCGACAAGCCAGTAGAGGAACTGTTGGAAAGCCTGGCCACCAAAGGACCAGAAGAATACAAGAGCGTATGTCTTGCCGAACCCGCCCTTGAACCAGTCAAAGACTGGGTCCGTGTATTCGTAGTAGAACTGGTACTGCAGGATGGTGGCCCAGATCCAGGTGCCTACGAGCACGAAAATGAGTGAGGCGAACGCTATGCGGGCCCGCGTCTTGATGTGGATAGACTGCTTGTCCAGCAAGGTGGCAATCAGGAAGGAAGACGTGATGCCGGCGAAGTTGGTGAAGAATGAGGAGAAAGCCCGTGAGCGAACAGTAAAGTAGTCGGTCAGCCAGGTGCTCTGGAAGCCGTTGTAGAAGTAGCTGATGAAGAAGGCCGGCATCAGCATGGCAATACGGCGGGTGAAGAGCAGCGAAATGACAGCTTTGAATTCGGCCATCCACGTTGCTTGCGTGTGAACGACAACCAGAGTCCGGTCTTTACGTTGGACTTTCTCTGCTGGGCTTAGGCACAGACCGATAGGAAGTCCGAGGCACATGAGCACGATGAAAACGATGTACGTGCTTGCACTGACGGTTCCCTGGCCAGAGTTTTGAGCATTAAGGCCCAGTTCGATTGCACCACCAACGATAGGGCCTGCAGCTTTGGCGGTTTGCCAAATCGCTAGAGAAGCTGTTAGATGCCATAACCAGGACCCAATCCAATAATCCAGTTACTCACCTAGGTAGAACGCTCTATCCTTGGGACTAGGGTACCCGATAATGATAGCCGCTTCGGCAGCCCAGAAGAAACCAGCCGAAATACCACACAAAGCACTTCCAAATAGCAGAAACCAGGTCGTCGGCGAGTAGTTGTTCGTATACAGACCGGCACCGTAGATAGGGTAACCGATGGCGCCCAGCGCCAGGCCATAGCGAAGCCCAATACGGTTGTTAATAGCACCAGCAGCGATACAAACCACTGCGAACAGACCATACAGCAGGGCATTTGCAGCTGAGACAGCATACGGCTCTGCGGCACCTCCAGCACCCAGGTTGTTCAAGGCATCCCACATGCCCGGAGCAGTGAAGGAAACACCACTGGCGATGGCGATCTGGAAGGGGATCGACCGGACCACCGACAGGAAGCGGTTAGGCGGCTGGGGTGAGGCCATGGTGATGAAACCTTTAGAAGGGCACTCGCCACGTGGTTGATCTGATCTGATAACTGAGAAGAGGGAAGTCTTGATATTTGGGCAAAATTTGGGGTTGGGGATGAACGAGGAGAATTCGTATTGTGGGTGGGGCTGTGGATATTGCGTGATTGGAGTCAATGCCAAGTCATGACAAATGGAAATGGGAATATAGCGACATTTTGTCGGGATTGTCAACCTGTTGCTTGAGAGTCGAAGTTATGCTTGTCTACGTTGTACGTTGTAGTTGTTCACCATGATATCACACGGCGTGGGATCAGTCGCCGCATCGGTGCCCTTTGGGGGCGATGTTCAGGATCTAACTAAGGATTTCTAGCTTTGGGGGCTCCACAATGGCCTGTCACCCACTCTTCACCACCTATAAAAATAGGCGCACGCCAAAGGATACGAGACATTATTATCGTTGGAGCCCATCGTCATATACTTGCTCAGCCTGGGCAAGAAAAGTTTTGAGTCATAAATATTGGCGATAACAAATGAGGCAGAGATTTCAAATAGACGGGCGGAAGTTCTTGGCAAGTAGTCGGCAATTTGGGCGGTTCCTGAGACTAGGCCATCGGGATTCCGGTCATAAGCGAGGCCACGCCCTTCGGACCCAGAACATCCTCAAGATGCAACCAAGACGTCACCAGCCCGTCCGATTCGCCCGCATCATCAGCAACCTCATCTTGAATGGGCTTTTTGTTCTTGCAAAACACCCTCGACTCTTTGCATGCCACATCACCATTTTTCTTCAGGTATTCACGCGTGACGTCGCCAGAGCTTATAACAATACGACTCACTAACTCCACGTCCCCTGATCCGAGTCCCATTGAACGTACATTTTGCGCCGAGCCTCGCGCGACATGGTGGATGAGAAGGACGATATTGGAGATGAAGGACTCATCAGGCATGTACCCGGCCGTAAGTTATTGAACAAATCTGTGATGCTCTTTCTCTCGGATCAATCGCTGTAACTCGACGGAACGTTTGTGCATGCCGAAGTAGTTGTACAAGATGACAGGCTCCTCTTCGTAAAGCTTGGTCTTCAGGAAGGCTAGAAGATGGATTGTGTCAATATTGCGGGTATTAGACCACTTTTGGGTAATCGAGAGCTCCGCATTAGCTCTGTTGAGCCCCTTGCAGGACGAGGATTCAAGTTTGGATTTTTGTGAGAGCTCGTCCAGGATCCGGTCAATGTTGACGATCCCGGCATCTTCCGCGAGACCCTCAACATACTTGGGGGAGAACAAGTTCGCAACTGCAGTGGTAGGCTTGAGCAAGCGTGGATTCTTGCCATCCGGTTCATGAAAGGGTTTACTCCGGGAATCGCGCGCAAAATTGGCAGCAGATGAGATACCTGTGGCCAGTTCAAGCCTGTTTAGCGATTCACCGGCGTTCTGGGGCCGCGAACCAATGAAGAAATGAGACTCGCCATGGATCTTGATGAAAGCATCCATATCGGGCCATCTCACGTCCTTGCGCGTAGCATAATTGATAACGGGATTGTGCAAGAAAGCCAGCTGTTGGACGTCATACCATTGGGTGACAAGCTGCAGGCCCACACGTTGCATTCTAATATTGAGGTGGAATAATATCAGTCCGCAGAGGATAGAGTGCTGCGATAAAAGTGCGTGCTTCTCAGGCCATGATCCGGTTTTGTCGAGTCCAGACAGGACCCGAAGATTGAGGAACGCGTCTTGTATGATCCAGGGGTTCTCGGTAGAAATATTACCTTGGATCTCTTCGTCGCCCTCCTTTGCCCAAAATTAGGGCTGGGGATGTGTTTCGGACAGCTTCAGGTAGTCATTAATGACCTTCTGGATGCGCAGTCCCGACATTCGAAGGTCTCCGAATGCACCAAGTGTACTGTGTCGCATGATGTGATGGATGTTGAGGAAAGTCTGGGAGGCAAAGCATAGCCATAGAGTAACTTTTCTGTTCTTGGAAAATTCAACAAGACCTTGCGTGATAGCGTCCGAGGTAGGCGTCCTGAATTTGAAAGTGTCAAACATGCAGAACTCGGGCAAGATCGAAAGAAGGATGATCTTGTCTTCGTTCAACTTTTGGCCCACAGACATCCGCTCCCTGTCCGCCTTTGGGTCATAGGTACCGAAATAGCCCTTTTTGAAGACTGGTTGATGATTGTCGTGGAGGATATTGGCAAAGGCGTCAAGCAGAACCTTGGTAGGCACATAGCACCAATCGGCTACATCAGCCATGTTCTTGTTGTATGACAGGCCAACCTCCGTGGATGGAGCTGCGGAGATGCCCCGGCTCATGACGGCGAGATTTCAACAAGTGTTTGAACATCATTTCTTGCCGGCGTGTGAGTAGAGAGCCAGTCAGCCTCTACCTCCTTCACCATATCGCGGGCGAATTGCCAGGCACTGTCCGTCACGACAGCGGCGTTCATAAGGTCCATTTTCTTATCCCGGTACTCCGACCAGGCAAGCTTGACTTCTCCAAAGAGTCATTCAATGTCGATATGGACGCTGACTAACGATTGAGCAGCACTTCAACTCAGTCTTTCTGTCAGGATGCATCATCGAAGTGGTCCAAGCGCCGCCCAGTTTGAGTTGGATTGCGCTAACGTGATGACAATAACCTTAGCCCTTAGTCTCCTCCGTACTAGTTATCTAGCACGTCGTATATTGTCAGATGGCGCCCAACATAACTTTCGGCGGCGTTGGACTGGGATGCACGTACATCCGGCTCTTCGAAACGATGGGTAAATGACTAGGGATGACACTGGAAACGATTCTACTAGGGTCACGTACTCACACGAAAACACTATGAGAGCAGAATTCATACCCTCCGAAATGGACGTATGCATAGAAGACTGACAATCAACCAAATACAACATTTCGTAGCATTTCTTGCTGGTGACACGCCGATGGACTACCAAGAAAAACTTGGCGCCAGGATGCGAGCCGCTCCCTACATTGACATAACGTAGGTGAAATCGAACTATAAGTGGTGCCCTGGTTGTTACACCGCGACAATCCACCAAAAGTACACATCGTTTCAATTGCTTGCTATATCGGTGACCTTACTTGTTGGATTGTCCCTAATAAAGGGAGGAGAGTCCCCAAATCATATAAAAATAAAAACATACAACAGAAGGGATTCGCTGGTGGTCACCCACCCAACTACTAACCTCCCGGCGTGTGGCTTAAGTACGGCTGAGCGGACGGGAAGCCCTGTTTTCCACACCCTGTGGTCGTATGTACTTGCTTCTGTTCGGCCTCAGGTAATATAGTGTCCTGCAGAGTTTACTGCTTGGATGCGTTGCTAATGATCGCGGTGCCCTTGAAGTAAGTGGGTATGGGAAGCCGAAATTAAGTCACTCTAATAAACCTTGAATATCAACAATTCCAAGCACTTCTACGAGCATTCTCCGATGATGGCCAAGAGCATCGTACTACTAGTCATAGACACAGAAATCTAAATTTTGCATTACCACAAATGGTGGTGGTGGACAAAGCAGAATTCCTTCTGTTGGCGGTTATATATAGTATCATCCAGGGTCAAGGCCGGGAATGAAAAAATCGTGAATCTAGTACCTCGAGGCCACCCTACCAGCGCGAGATTGGGATCACTGAACCAAAATCAACGAACAGGCAAGTTTGGTCTCATTGCGGAGTGAAATTAGGAACAGACAAACAGAGCAGAATGAGTCGCCAAGAGATGAAAATGGGTTAGAAGTATGCAACTGTACAAAATGCTGAAACGCGAACCCAACGCCAATCCCGGAAATTAGCTACTAATAATCCAATGCTCATGAAATCCTATACGCCTTCGTCTCTCCCATTTTGTTTCTGCTTCTTTTTCTCCTTAGCCTCCGCATCAGCCTGTTTCCACGAGCCCGCGTAGTGATGCGTAACCAGCGCATCTCCTTGATCCTGGGGGTATCCGTTCTGGGACGCCGCAAAGGACACACCAGGCATGACTAGGACATCTCCAATGAGCTTGGGTTTCTTGATCCCATGGAAGTCGCGATCATCAACCGTCCGACCTAGCAGCTTCTTCAGACTGTCAAGGATTGCGATTGTCATGATCTTGGGCCCCGTCACATTAACAACATCGATGGGCAGCATTTCTAACGTCAAGTCTTTCACCTGCACCTTATTCATTAGAGCAATCTCATTGATCTGGGCTACAACAGAGTCCACCACCACCTGGAGGACGCGTGATGAGCGGGGTGCCGCGAAGACCCAGTTGCAGAACTGCGATGCGACTTCCGTTCCTTCCCCGCGCCATTCAAAATCGAACTCCAAGCCCACGATCATCTCGATCTTTGCATTCTTGTATTCAGTTGGAACCCAATCAGCCACGGGCTTATCGCAGGTAACGTCCAAATCACTCCAGACACCCCCCTCCGCGAGCACGAGCAGGTATCGCAGGAGATCCGCTTTCAGGATCGGGATCGGGAGGGTCTCGAAGACCTCGATAATATCTGGTCGCGAGGCATAATGAGTACGAACGAAGGTGGCAGCGGAGGCATCAGTCAAGAGCTCATATCGAAAGGATGGGTTCTTGTCGAGCCAACTGCTGATCCATTCGTCTTGGTCGTCGCTCAGGTGGGGATTCTTGGCGGATTGCCAAAGCTTGTCGGTTATACCGAAGATAGCATCACCACCAGCAATGTCAGCAATCGGGTTCGAGGTGGATGGATCACTGATAGATACTGGTGGTTTAGGGCGCGATGCTTCTTCTTTTGGTGGCTCGACTGGTTGTGGTACCTGAGTTACCGTATCGGACTGTGACGTTGTCGGGGCTTGGGATTGCTGACGGAGTCGGCCCGGCAGTGGGTCCCACGTCAAGAAGAGCAGGCAGCTGAACACGAGCAGCGGGATCGTCAAGATAACAAAGCGCCCATAGCGCGAAGATTTTAGGGTGGAAGGGAGCATCGATGTTGGGAGAGATGAGGAGATTTCATGGGGATGGGTGTTTAGGTGAGGAGAGGTGAGAAATAATCTCGGCGCTCCAGGCCTCAGCGGAGAGCCGTCCATCTGTTTAAGAACAATGTGGGATTACTACCATTGCCACGGTTCGAGGATCGCTCCATGATGGCTCAGCGCGGGCGCTAACAGTCAGGGAAATTAAGTTTGTGCTCCCACCAGGGTCATCAACGGTTTGTCTTGATTGGAGGGCAAAAAGATCCTTAGTCTTGCTAGTGCCGGGTGTCACCGGAGAGGGGTCGCGAGGCTTTTAATTTACTTGAGAGGCACCGGCCCACCGCTAGTTGAGTTGGTCAGAATCCTGGGAGGCCTGTAGCCTCGCTAGATAGTTATAATGCTGTACCCTTGAGGTGCTCGAGCATTAAAGTGTGGCTGTATCACGGCCACGCGAGGTTTCGCCGCGCCAAGGCTCTGTTAGTCGGCATTAAGATACTAGTGGTGCCTCTTAGCGATGTTGGACAAGGAACGAATACATAAGCGCAATCTCCGCACAGGAAAATGAATAACCCGTTATATCTGGTAGTCTTTGTTTGGGCCCATGCACATCCCCATACGTGAGGTGAGGGTATCCAAGGATCCAGTTGAATCGTCGGGTCTGTGAAATGATGGTGCGGCTCTTGATACCCGAAGTCCCTGCGGCATGGCAGGTACTCTCGTGGGTGATGATGCTCTCCCTCCCGGGAAGCCTTGGTCAGACAACCACATTGTTGAATACTTCTATTGAGGACAGTCCCCATTTTATGGGATGGTATCTGGGAACGACCAGTCAGTACTTGTTCACCACCTCGGTGCTATTCTGTTTGAGCTGAACATCATCGCTTACCCTGACTGTCAATTGCAGCCCAAGCCCTAACTGATGCGGGCACTTGGTCGACCTCCGGGCAATATGCAGCCGGCTGCACCGCTTCTGTCACCTGTTCCTGGGCTACCGCATGTAGTGGGAACATACTTTACTACGATGTCGACAATAAAACCCTGGACTGGTATGTCTGAAATCATCAAATTCATACGTTGAGACACGATGTCGCTAATACACAACTCGACCTTGTGTCTGACTAGTGGTTCCGAGTCCATGTCATGCCAAACCATGACCATATATCAATCCGAACCCTACGCTACACCATCCGCATACAACCTCTTCTGCGCTGAATTCTGGTCTGCGTACACAATCTATCGAGAGCTGCCCGCAACGACGACCTCAGCCACACCAGCCACCTCAGGTATATCCCATCCCATTCCATTGCCTTTTAGACACAATGAGATTCACCAGAACTTTGCCACATAGAATCCACAGCCAGTGCAACCACCGCACCGATCACCTCAATGGCCACACAAACCAGTTCCGCGACCCAAACCTCGACCGCTTCACCGTCTTCAACATCCACATCTTCTTCCGGAAAGAGCCAAGCGTGGATTGCGGGCCCTGTAATCGGCGCTGTGGTAGGCGTTGGTGCTATTGCAGCCGCAGTGATCTTCTTCCTACGCCGCCGGATAACCCGAGGGCCTCAGGCCATGGAGTACCAAAGTGTCTCTCCGGGAGCGCGGACGGTTTCCGAGCTGCCGACAGAAAGCCTCACGGGGATGGTGCACGAAATGCCCTCTACCTCCACAAGCCGGGTGGGGCCATACGAGCTGAGTTGAAACCGGGATAATATTAACGATAATTATAATAATATCAAGCACTATAGTGGTAATTATGAGACTCTGTGCATGGCCTCAATGGCTTTTTCGTGTGATCCTTTTCTCGGATCCTGGTCGACGCCACCTAACAAACCTGAGACCTGCTACACCCCCTTACCATGGACCAGTAAATATTCAGCCCCAAACTGCACAATGTCCTTTTATATTACTGGAAGTATATTAGCCGTGATATGCTGCTTCTCATATTGTAGGTTTGGCATGTACAGAGGTCCGATCGCCACTTGGCCAAATTCTACCCTATCGGTGCAGCCACAAGATATTGCGAGGTAGCAAAATGCTATGTCCGTATATTAAACTCAATGATATAATCTTAGCACTTGTATGCCCAGCGTCTTGAGATCTTTATCTACTTCGGATACATCATTATGTCTTAGTCATGCAGGTACTTGAAGGCCGCATAAGAATGGTTAAACAAGCTAGACAACTCTTAGGTCACATGTGTGATTGGACGGCTACGAGATTTTCCCAGAAATCTATTAAACTGCTTCCGCGCACAAAAGACGAGCGAACAACCATCGCTGTCCGAACAGACAGGGGTAGAGGTGCAAATTTTGGCCAGGGGGTGTTCATTTTAGCCAATAGACACTACGGAGTAGACACTTACAACGGACAATATAATAAGCGGCTACCAATATATATTAGGGGTCACGATAGGGAGCGTAAAATTAACACGAGGCCCGCGTTACACGCTAAATGTTGTGGTGCCCAAGCTAATTTTTGGGCGAGTCATGATTAGCTCGCGCTAGTGCTTACGCCTCCAATCCCTCCGAGCCCTGGCTGCTGATAACATCGATGGAACGTCCGATTTTAGGTATTAAGCAGGCTGAGCCATGCTCTCTAACGTCTATTAGCTGTATATGCAAATAATAGATTATATATATGAATCTTAGGCGGCTATACGTGAGGGTTGTGGGACCAACGCCCTGTCTGTCGAGCTGTACTGTAAACGGAATGATTAAATCTGGGGGTTATCATGGCGCTTGCGCTAGATTTATAATGAACAGCGATCGACATCGTAGCAACCATTATTCGTACGCTAAGTCAATTGGCTAAATTAGAGGAGATAAGACATTTTCTGCTCTATAATTTTCGCCCCACTAAAACATGGCAGTCGGCTCCCGAATAGATTTTCCATGCTCATATGCATGTCCCTCGGAGTTATCCGTATGATCATAGAAATTCCAAAGACCAAAGCGTCAAT